TTCAATAGGCCACTTATTTTGTTTGTGTCGCTGAGAACATCAAAACAGAGAGAAGAAGGTTGTCCCATCGATCGAGCAAGTGATACATTCATCGTTCGTCGTATCATCGAAACCGATTGAATGTATAGTTCCCGATGGCTCGAGGTTTCGATGGTAAGCACCAAGATCGATCTTATGTAGAAAAGTTGAGCACGGTGCGATTTCCCGTGAACGATTGATCCTTCCAGGTGCTAGAAGCCCATTTGAGGATGATTGTCCTCGATGTTATTAGTTCAATAGTAAGCGTGGGACCATTCCACCCATCAAGTTCTGTTTGTTGAGGATAGTAGTTGATAACGATGTGGTTTCCATTTGAGTAAGAAGCGCAGCACATACTCGACAGAGAATGGGCTATGCGATCGATCGAGCATTGATCATCCGAAGTGCTCGGTGGTCTATCTAGTCTTCTGACTTCTCTCCTTCTGAATTACCTCGATCAGTTTGCTCCGTACTCGAGGCACAATCACCTGTGTACACGCCTGTGCTTGCTTGTGAGCTTACCGCCCGCTCAGTCACAGACGACATCATTGTCAACAGAGACGGGACGTCTGTTAAGTGTTCCTTCTCTTGTTATCATAATATTAAAAACCGAGTAATCACAAGCTCTCTGAGATAGTATCAACAAGGCCGACCGAAGAATGTGAGCTGAGACTGGCCGATCTGCAGATCTGAGGTCTCAAAGGTAAGCGTAGGATCATCCCACTCATCAGGTTGAGATCATCTTGTTGAGCGTTATCGAGAATATTAACTTCCCATGGAGCTCTGGGGTCGAAACTCGGGACTGTCTTTGATAATTTATGAGTGTCAGGCTACTCGAACGATGGAGCAATAGATCGTTTGGAGGATTTAATACCTGGTCTTCCTCATCGTGTGGGGTTTCGGGAGAAAGCATGGCCATTCCATCTCATTATTAGGTTATTCAGGATAGTCGAGAATGGTGTAGCTTTCCATAAGGTGTACAGTGCATTGCCTTTCACGAAGCTCTGCGTTTTGTTCGATCGACGTATACATTGAAGTAGATCCTCGATGGTCTAATGGTCGCGATCGAAGTACTCTGTACCCGTGCAAGAACCGACGATGTGCAGAATTGCTCGCTCCAAGCATGTTCACATGAACTCTTGTTAGGGCTAGTCATGAGCCGAGAAGGTTCAGGCAAAAGATATAGCTGAGATTGCCCTGCAACGAGACAAACCAGCGATACTTCCTTGGCTATTGAGGTTCAATAGTAAGCGTATAGTCCTTCTTCCATCGAGTCCACTGCCATGCCCCCAGTTTGCCACATACCTAAGCTTCTGTTAACTCATTGTAATGTCCATCCTGAAGATTGGCAGCGATGCGGTAGTTTTGAGATGCGAACGCGTGGCAGAGTTACTAGGTTCTTCAGTATATTAGAATCCAGTGTCACCCCCCCAGAAAAGTACGAAGTACATACCAAACATGATCGATAGAGTATTTGAGTCATGGACTGATTGGCCATTTCAATACCAATAAGCGTTCTCTGAATGATACCTTTCAGTCTCTGGGATTGGGTGTTTCAAAGATAAACCCAGAGCTATACCTTTGCGTCCACAGTCGCTTCGTGTACTGTGACTTGTATTTGTGAGATCTGAGGGTGTTCGTTTTCCGTAAGGTTAACGCGATGTGATGCAGCAATAATTTATCTTTGAGTGAATATTCAAGGCACTGTCGGGGACATTCTATCATTTATTCCGATTCTAAGAGCAACCGAACATCAGTTGATAGATGGAACTCCCGATTGATCCTTCGGAGTAGAATATTTCCTCTTTGGTGGAAGAAAGAGTGAGTATTGTAACTTCTCTCACCCAGTGTTCTGTTCTTCGTTCAAAGTCCAAGGAGAAGGCCATACTGACTAGGATAGCTGTAGTGAGATGAAGAAAAAGAAAAATGATGGGTTGAGATATTCTGTGAGCGCTTTCTCCTGCTCTGGTAAGACATGCTGCGAAGGAGATTGTGTAGTATCCAGTGTAAAGTACTCGAGAAACTGGCGATTTCAAGTTGTTGTGGGATCCATCATACCCCCGTTCCCTGTATCACCGAACATTTACCTCACCATCGCCTGCAGGTGCGTATCTTTGATGAGGTTTCGATGATACTTCTGTGAGATGATAAGAAAGATTATCCCACTTTGTATAGTATCGTCTGTTTCCTTTCAGATATTGATAGTAACGTCCATCAGTGACAAGTTTGCTAGCACCAGAAACGCAATTTAGTAACAAAGGCCGATAGATAGACAACTGAGGTATAAAAGATAAAGCTCTAGTGTTGTAGTAGCTGTGGGTCACTTTGGTTGCCCAGGCGAGTCGATAAGAGCCCATTTAGTTCTCAGGATGTTGGGAAGGCGAGCTAATGTGCCAGTGAAGTGTTCGTTGGCATTTGAGCATCGGCGGTTCGCTTGATCGGTATATGCCTCAGAGTGTCACAGAGTGCAGCAAGCACATTATACAGTTCCCCTAGCTTATGGCGAATATCCATCGTGTAATGCATCTGAGATATTTCAGCCCACCTGTCCGCCAGTCGAGCGAGTTCAGAGACAAGCACCATGGCCGTGCTTAGTCTCTTTCAAACATGTTCGACTGATTCCAAAAAAGGAGGGTGTCTCTAGAGCTGTGGAACTCCTTTCTTATTTGCAGTCCTTGGCTGCTGACTTTGTTTGGAGCCATTTGAGTAATCTGAGCTCTAGCGGTTAGTGATAGCTCTGTAGATAGAAGACTCTCGGAATAAACCCCAGTAGCCGGATTGCTAAACTAAAGAATGAGATCTGGAGGATGTCTCTTCAACATACCGTACAACGTCATGGATACTACCCTGTTAATCTCTCCCTGTACGTCAGACGGAGAAATTAAAGCGTCGAGATTTATAGGCAGATATAGCGAGTCTCTTTTCGAATTCGAGTATGGACCAGATAGAGTAAAACCTGTTGCCGAAGACTCTCTGTCATCTTCATTTTTGGTTGCTTTCGGAGGACATCATAAATAGGCCCCCGAGTTTCTTCTTCTACCTTCGACCGAGCTTTCTGCTTGAGATTTTCGTTCGCGGATGTTTCAGGGCACAAGGCCTTGCACCAGATAATCGGTGGATGTGACCATCATCTGAGTATGATAGACCAGGTAATCGGTCGATAATGAAAAATATTATATAAGTATAATAGAAGATTGTTATATATAATCGTCTGATAATTAGATGATAGAGAGAAGAAGAAAAGGAGAGAGTTGGGTGGAAGGAGAACGGGATTTATATAGCCCAGCAGAAAGCCAACAAGTGAACACTCATATCTCAAAATTCCAAGGATTCAACAGAAAAGGTGAACAAAAGGAGTGAACGGTAAGCAATATTTGAGTTAGTAGATCCTTTTGAAGCACTCGTTGAATATCAAGATGCTCTCGTGCACTGGGATGCGTGCACTGAGATGCATTCAACGGTTGGGCTTGATCAAGCCGCAATTGCCCTAACTTTGGAGGTAGTGAACGGCGTGTAAGAATCAAAGCATGAGAATAACAGGTTCAAAGGATTCTACTTCGGGAAACGAGCGGGTCATACACGATCATGACCGTCATAGCGAGTTAGGGTTGCGAGCTTGGATAACTGGACGGTGCCGGGTGACTATCTGTGAACCTGGAACGCCTGATAGAAGCACATAACGTTAGACTGCTAATTACCCTGGAACATTGTGCTTTACCTTATACTAGGTAATGACTTGGCTTAATGAGAATTTTACTAATATGTTCGAGGATCAGGCGAATTCTTCAAATAGAAATCCTACAGGAAAGACTCTCGGATCTTGCGGGTGATCAAAACCTTCATATTCTCTGCCGTAACGGCTATTGTACTCAAAGAATTCGGCCTATTGCCATAACATACGCCGAGTGAACGGGACCAGGGCCTCATGGAGGTTGCACCACGCACCCTAAATGGCTTAAAAGGCAGGTACCTAGGCAAGTCCATTCGGACACAGTCCTTGGGGCATTGACGATCATTGGTTTTCGATGTTTGTAGCATCCTTTGACCTCCGGCTATCACAGAGCATATGAAGATTATTTACACCGATGGGATCGAAGCTGGTAGGAACGTCCTTCAAAGTAGGAACGACGGAGCAATGCTATGAATGAAGCCCCGGACATGATAGTAGTCTCGTTGTGATCTAAAAAGGTCGCTGAAGAGCGATGCTTAGGTAGCGGCACCATGAGAGATGCCCATAATGTGCAGACTTCGAGCATCTACAGTATGAGATTTGTCCATTACGTTGTCAGCATGGGCAGAGGTTTATGAAAAGACCGTTGTAGCTTTTTGTAGATTTATGCCGAACTCTTAAGCGAGGTCAGTACTATCGGGAGAGCTGTATTGGGACTACCTACCGCAAGCGGATAGCTTCAAGCGTCTTGATTTAGTAATGACCTACACGGATTGATACACAGTATTCCACGACAGCAACTCCGTAGTCCGGTAAACATTCCCAAGATAAGGACAAACATAAGCGAATGACGAGAGCGATGAGGTGATTTGTGATAGTGGTGGTGGAAGTAGGGAGTTATGAGTAACGCGAGAAATAATACACACGGCAAGTGGGGTTTGCGTGATACAGATCGATACTTACTTTACCTTACCTTAGTTATCTGCACCTTCCGCTGCAGTTCGTTGCAACCCGCGGGAAAGGTCCAGGGTCTTGACAACAAAGTGAAAAGTACACAGTAGCATTCTGGAGGTGATCTGTTCCCCTCTTTCCCCATCCATGAGACAACTGAGCCTCGGAGAAAGCTTTCTCATTTACCCCCGAGTAACCTCAATGATACACCAATCATAATGTACAGAAGCAGTCTGGACCCGACCTGCTTATGAATCGCGGAAGGAAAAGCTACTGTGGTGCCCCCCCAAAGCTGGTTCGGGAAGGTGGAATACAGCAGCAAAACGTCATTCCGAAGAACCCCGCCAGGTGGGGGGTTTTTGGTGAGCTTCCGATGGAGGGAAAGACCGACATTGGAAGCCCATCGAATCCACTGGGGAGCAACGAGCGAGGCACTCTGACTGATTCGGTGTCCGCTGCTGCTCCTGCTGCTGCTGCTGCTGTTCTGTTGGGTCGCTCATTATTTACCCCTCGTTCTCTTCTTCCCTCTCCTCTTTCCCTCCCCATCATCCTCTCCAAAATCTTGAATTTACCCCTAGATCCAAGGTAATCCAATCTTCAAAAACCGTCAAAATGGTCAAGGCTGGTAGGTACCTGCACTTTTCTTCAGCCCTTTTGGTTTTCCTATCCTGCTATTGGCCTTAATCCCCCTCCACGGATCCACGATCGACCGTGGCCGGGGACCTTGAGTGAGCAGATTTGAGCACCTTGCGATCCCTCCTGCACCTATCACGATCTGGGGACCCTGTTTGCCAGCCCAGCAAGCTCAGGGGGATTCGGTGACATCTGCCAGCTTATTCGTCCCCGTCAGCTGGAGCTTTGTTTTATCTTTCGTATTAATAGTACCACAATCAAAGTCTGGTTGATGGCCAGTGATCGCTGGATCTCGTGGTTCTGGAAGGTTTCCATCGATGAAAATCATGGGCTGACATCCATCTCTTAGTCGCTGTTATCCGTGGAGACTCCAAGGTCTCCGGCACTGTCACTTTCGAGCAGGCCAACGAGAACACCCCCACCACCATCTCCTGGAACATCACTGGCCACGACGCCAACGCTGAGCGTGGCTTCCACGTCCACCAGTTTGGTGACAACACCAACGGCTGCACCTCCGCTGGCCCTCACTTCAACCCCTTCGGCAAGACCCACGGTGCTCCCGAGGACGACGAGCGTCACGTCGGTGACCTTGGCAACTTCAAGACCGATGCCGAGGGTAACGCCGTTGGCTCCAAGCAGGACAAGCTGGTGAAGCTCATCGGTGCCGAGAGCGTCCTGGGCGTACGTTTTCATCCCTGCCCTTCTTCCTGGCTGTTTCTGTAAAGATGCTAATGCAATGCATACAGCGGACCCTGGTCGTCCACGCTGGTACTGATGACCTCGGCCGTGGTGGCAACGAGGAGTCCAAGAAGACCGGTAACGCTGGTCCTCGTCCCGCCTGCGGTAAGCATGTCCCTATCAAGATACCCCTTCTCACACAAACAACATTGTTTACTGATCTCGTCTGTCACAGGTGTCATCGGCATTGCCGCTTAAGTGCCTAACTCAGTCTCCAGAGCTGTTCGACTAGGATGTGAAGGGCTAGAACAGAATGAGTAGTCTGCCATTATCTTGTCGACAACAGGAATAAAATGAATGCACGAATGACTTGATGCCAACTGTTATGATAACCGGCATTTCTGCCAGACTGTATCGAAGCGCTGATTACCTCTGCTGTGGGTAGTACAGAATGTAACAATTTCACTGGAAGAATTAGCTTTCTACTTTGACGTCCAAGTAGTACATGTCAAGATGCACAGTCTCATCATCGTCTCCTTTGTGATTGTACTCGTTGCGGCCTAGGGTGATTCTAGCGCTTACAGCTACATAATTGGTGTCACGGAACACATGGACTTGAGGCGAGCCAACAGACATGCCCAAGTTTGATCAATTAGCACAGCGCTCGTCGCCAGAAACATTGAGTAGACAATTGTTTATGCTGCAGCTCAATTTTGGCAGTTGGTGAAGCATCTTTGGTGAAGTGGTTTTTCCTGCAGTGACGGAGATCCAGGGAAGCTTGTATTTCATTGAATGTGGTCGTGAAAGAGTCACTGATTATAGAAAGATTCACTCTTCTTGATCACTGGGATTCAAAAGCTAAACTATGATGATATGCAGACAACGGTGCGGATAGTTGCAGGAGCGAAGCTCTGTCGAGGCCGGAGTCGAACTCCCCCACAAAAGTCAGGTGCCCGCCCGAGCGCGATTGGCCGCTCGGACTGCTGTACCTGGCCTCAATGGAAGTAGTCCGACTGTCTTCTTCTCCCTTTCCCCTATCATTCATTCGGTCTTTTTTTCTTGTCCCCTTCTCATAATTCATTACTTACACCCCTTTCTCCTTAATTGCTTCTGCCTCTTTAACCCCGTCTCGTCAATTTCTGGTCTCGCCTGTCGCTTGCCAGCATGCCTCTGGAAGCCCGCGTGAAATCTGTCCTGTCCGGCGACACGGTGGTGCTGTCGCATATCAACAACCCAGGCCAGGAACGTATCCTTAGTCTTGCATATGTCTCCGCGCCGAGGCTACGCAGAGAGGGAGATGAGGTGAGTTCGTTATTATTTGTGTCTTCAAATACAATGTCAATGCGCGGTACAACCGTTTCTTTTCTGCCTGGATAGGTGGCCTCTACATCGGGGACAATTGGCTGCATTCCTTCCGAAATCTAACATTCTTGACTGGGTTGGACTCGACCTTGTCTTGTTTAAATTAGCACCGCTTAATCTATTTATCAACAACTTGCTAACTTCCGCTGTTCTCTTTCTGCAGCCGTACGGCTTCCATTCCCGAGAGTTTCTCCGCGAGCTCCTAGTCGGAAAAGTCGTACAATTTCAAATCCTGTACACCATCCCTACCGGTGCTAAGCGCGACTACGGTACAATCAAACTCCCGACCTTCGACGTCTCCCTCCCCGACATCAGCGTCCAGGAAGGATGGACTCGCGTCCGCGAAGAGGCTGGCAAGCGCAGCGACGAGTCTGAAGAGACTGTGGCGTACCTGCAACGACTCCGTGCATTGGAGGAGCATGCCCAGACGGAGGGCAAGGGAACATGGGCAGGCACAGAGAGTGGTCGCACAGAGACCACTTATGAGCTGTCTGACCCTAAGGCGCTGGTTGACGAATGGAAGGATAAGCACTTGGAAGGTATCGTCGAGAGGGTTCTGAACGGCGACCGCCTGATCGTCCGTTTGCTCCTCTCTTCGGAGGAACACCTGCAGGTTGTCGCTGCCATGGCGGGTGTTCGTGCCCCAGCAGCCAAGCGAGTGACGGCTGACGGCAAGGAACAGCCTGCAGAGCCGTATGGAGACGAAGCATTCCAGTTCGTCGAATCGAGGATTCTGCAGCGCAAGGTCCAGGTGAATCTTCTGGGCGTCACCCCTCAGGGTCAACTGATTGCTAGTGTTCTCCACCCGAACGGCAATGTTGCCAAGTTTCTGCTGGAAGCTGGTCTGGCTCGTTGCCACGATCATCACTCCGCCCTGCTTGGTACTGAGATGGCAGCTTTCCGCCGTGCGGAGAAAGTAGCCAAGGACGCCAGAGTGGGCATCTTCACTGGTCTAGTTGCTCCCAAGGGTCCTGCTGGCGGGGCCGAGGACTACGTTGTTGGCCGCGTGCTGAACGCAGACACGCTCTTTATTCGCAACAAGGCCGGTCAGGAGAAGAAGATCCAGCTCAGCAGTGTCAGGCAACCGAAGCCGTCTGATCCCAAGCAGGCTCCTTTTGCCGCCGATGCTAAGGAGTTTGTGCGCAAGAGACTCATTGGAAAGCACGTCAAGGTCACTATTAACGGCAAGAAGCCCGCTACGGAGGGATACGAGGAGAGGGAGGTTGCCACCGTTGTTCAAGGAAACACCAACATCGCTCTGGCCCTTGTCCAGGCGGGTTACGCTTCCGTCATCCGTCACCGCCAGGATGACGAGGACAGGTCTCCTGAGTATGACAACCTCATGCTTGCTGAAGCAGAGGCCCAGGCCGAAGGCAAGGGCATGTGGGCTGCCAAGCCCCCCAAGCCCAAGCAGTACCAGGATTACTCGGAAAGCGTTCAGAAGGCCAAGATGGAAGTTTCCATTCTCCAGCGCCAGAAGCGTGTGCCGGCTATTGTCGACTTTGTCAAGTCAGGATCTCGATTCACCGTTCTGGTTCCTCGTGAGAACGCCAAGTTGACTCTTGTCTTGTCGGGTATCCGCGCTCCCCGGTCTGCCCGTAACCCCGGTGAGGCATCCGAGCCTTGCGGCCAGGAGGCTCACGATCTTGCGAACAAGCGCTGCATGCAGCGTGATGTTGAGATCGACGTGGAGACCATTGACAAGGTCGGTGGATTCATTGGTACTCTGTATGTGAACAAGGAGAACTTCACCAAGGTCCTCCTTGAGGAGGGACTTGCTACTGTCCACGCTTACTCTGCTGAGCAGTCTGGTCATGCTACTGAATACTTTGCTGCGGAGCAAAGGGCTAAGGAGGCCCGCAAGGGTCTCTGGCATGACTGGGACCCTAGCAAGGACATCGTTGAAGATGAGGAGGAGCCTGCCAACAGCAACAACAACACTGACACCGAGGTTGCCCAGCGTCGCAAGGACTACCGCGATGTGATGGTCACCTATGTCGACCCTACTACTGGCCGCGTTAAGGTCCAGCAGATTGGCACAGGCACCTCTGCCTTGACGGAGTTGATGAGTGCTTTCCGTTCGTTCCACCTCAACAAGGCCAACGACACTCCGCTCCCTGGACCTCCCAAGGCGGGCGACTTCGTCGCCGCCAAGTTCACCGAGGACAACGAGTGGTACCGCGCTAAGGTCCGTCGCAATGACCGTGAAAACCAGCAGGCTGAGGTTGTTTACATTGACTTCGGTAACTCGGAGGTCCTGCCCTGGTCCCGTCTCCGGCCCTTGAGCCAGCCGCAGTTCTCCGTTCAGAAGCTTCGCGCCCAGGCGGCTGATGCGGTGCTCTCCTTTGTCCAGTTCCCTGGTGCCGAAGATTACCTGCAAGATGCAGTCAGCTTCCTCGAAGACCAAGTCTACAACCGTGAGCTTGTTGCCAACGTCGACTACGTGTCTCCAGACGGAACCCTGCACGTCACTTTGCTGGACCCTACCGAGTCCAAGAACCTGGATCACAGTATCAATGCCGACATTGTTCGTGAGGGTTTGGCCATGGTGCCCAGGAAGCTGAAGGCCTGGGAGCGGGCCGCTACTGAGACAGTGTCCCACCTCCGCAGCGTAGAAGAGGAGGCGAAGCAGGAACGACGGGGTATGTGGGAGTATGGCGACCTGACCGAGGACTAAATGTTACACTCATAGTGTTGTGTTTGGAGTGGTGGAAGAAGATGTCTGTACAATTATCCACATGGCGCTTTATGTCGATTCCCATGAGCGACGCAATTAGTGGCTTTGGGCATTCTTACATTGGCAGCTTTTAAGAGCTGTGCTACATTAGTCTAGGATTTCTCAAATATGTTTTTCTGAATAAGGATACCAAAAGTTGGATCTTTGGCAACGTTCCTGTTTTTTTGTGCTCTGCATAACTCTGTGCATAGATGACATAAGCGGATGTTATCTCCGCGACTGTCCGATGCGGCGAACTGCCTTTCCCGACTTTGCAGCGTCAGCCCAATTTTCTTGTCCTTTATGCCATATCCCCGCCATTCCCCTTGTGTTTGCGGCTTTCGCTCATTGTTGGACTATTTGTGATTAGAATCCGACGTAGCCGGCGCCTGCTCGACTTGAAACAAGGCCTCGTGACGGGCTTGAAACATAAGACTATAACCGACTTCCGCCAACGCCGAGCTCAGCTCCTTCAAGGACCCGCTTCATCTTCAATACTTCCTCCTTTGCAATCGCCCAATTCAAAGCATACCCAATCTCCTTAATCCAGCACAATGCCTTTCTGGGGAACGAAGTCCTCTCAACCTGCGGCGGAGAGCGACGCCAAATCTACGCATGACGCGACCGATCCTATCAACGATCCCGTTGCGTCGGCCTCGCAGGCGGCTGGCACGGCGTGGCTCGCTGGCCATCTCCACCACCTGACTGATGACCAGGAGAAGAAGCTGGAAGAGTTCAAAAAACTGTGTGAGGAGAAGGGTTACTACAAGCCGGAACGGGATGGAGAGAAGGCCAGCCATGATGATGCGACGATGCTGTATGTCTATTCGCGCTTCGTCTACATAGACCTCGTCACGCACGATGAACACGCATTGGAGAGGAGCTAACGATTATTACTTTAGGCGCTTCCTTCGCGCGCGCAAGTTCGACGTTGACGGCGCTTGGGGCCAATTTAAGGACACCGAGGATTGGCGCCGGGATAATGCCATTGAGTCGCTCTACGAGAACATTGATGTGGACTCCTACGATGCTGCCCGGCGAATGGTTCGTGAGCTGATCTATATATGTATGGCGATGGTCGCTTATATGTTCCTGTCTAGTATCCCCAATGGACCGGTCGTCGAGACCGCCGAGGTATTCCCGTCTACGTTTTTGAGATCAAGCATCTAAACAGCAAGAACATGGCTGCATACAACGAGACCATGTCCTCTTCAACCACGGCCGAAACGCACCAGTCCTCCACGGTCCCGCAGCGCCTTCTGCGTCTGTTTGCTCTCTACGAGAACCTCCTCAACTTCGTCATGCCTCTGTGCTCGAAGCTTCCTCGTCCTAACCCCGAAACTCCCATTGTCACCTCTACCAACATTGTGGATGTTAGTGGCGTTGGGCTCAAGCAATTCTGGAACCTGAAGGGGCACATGCAGGATGCTAGTGTTTTGGCTACTGCTCACTACCCGGAGACCTTGGACCGGATCTTTGTGAGTCCACCGCCTCTCTTCACTCAATGATGAACCCGGCTAACCAGCTATCCTCGAAGATTATCGGTGCTCCTTCTTTCTTCCCTACAGTCTGGGGTTGGATTAAGCGCTGGTTTGACCCTGGAACCACTTCGAAGATCTTCATCCTCTCCGCCGCCGAAGTAAAGCCCACCCTGACAGCCTTCATGGACCCGTCCAGCATCCCCAAGCAGTACGGTGGCGACTTGGACTGGCAGTGGGGCGACATGCCTTATCTCGACGATGAGGCCCGCAAGGTCGTCGGCGCCCTGGAAACTCCTCCCGCCGAGGGAGAGACCAAGCCTGATTTCATCAAGGGCCCAGTTCTGTTCAAGGACGACCACGTCGAAGTCCTCGGAAAGGTGAACGGCGAGAGCCGCAAATCCAACATCCCTGTTGGCGCAACTCCTCCTGCTCAATCAAACACCACCTCCCCAGTGCAGGTCGAAAAGCCCACTGAGCAGGAGCAGACCAGCGAGAACGAGAAAGTCCCCCTGCAAGAACCGGCTCCCGCATCGGAAACTGAGACGCAAACAGTGACTGCATAAGTCATACGTTCCTAATCTCTTCCTTCCACACTTTTCACTGGTTTTTACTTCCCTTTCTTCGTCGAAGGTACCACTAATAGAACCCAACGCACGGCGCCAGCGGTTATCTCATTACCCTCTTCTCCCACAAGCTACACTACTGTTCTAGATAATATACCACTTTCCTACCATTGGTTTTCCTCTTCACATATTGTATTGTCCTTTCCCGGGCTTGAACAAGCATCATCATTGTCTTATATACTACTTTTCTTTTTCCATATTGTCATTTGCAGGATCTGTCATAGGTGTGACTTGGGTGTGTGCGCAGCAACCGTCATCATCATAGAAAGATGCATCTTTTTTTTCGGGTTATATTTAGATGATCATGGTCATTTTCAATACTTCTTTTTAAAGTTTCTGCCAGTTGGCTTTTTTTTACTACTGTTCCGGGCTTCTTGACCAAGAGAAATCGCGATCGCATTAGTACTACTACAACACATTGAGGTGAACTTGGTTCAAGTTTGGTTTGCGGGTTATATATATATATATTTCCCGCTGGGAAAGTTCTCGATCTACCTTATTCGGGCTGATTTATAAGTGTATTAAGGGGGTAATGTTAAAGTGCCATATCATAGTTTGTCCAGGCTCAGTACTGAACTTTCAGTAGTACTATTAGTTAGTAGTATACGGTGCGTTCCAATTGTATTGAACTTCCATTTCTCAATGATGAGATGGATGAAAAATGGAATCATTATAGTAGTTCCTGGTAGTGAATACTAAGAATAGAAATACTATAACTGTATATATGTTATATTACGTCTTTACATCGTATCGTATATCTAAAGTATAGTAGTAGTAGTAGGTAAAGGCAAGTAGGTAGGTGAGCAGCTTCATCTACTACCACCCCAATCCCAGCCTATCCCATCCTAACGTTTCGCTATAATACATCAATCGCAACGCAACTTAAAACTAAATCAGACTAGTGTTTATGTAGATTTCCAGATCATGTTGATCTGCTTTCTCTTGACCTGTTCAACGATATCTCAGTTAGCCAGCTGTTTACTAGTCATGGAATACAGATAATCATGGGTAAGCTGAGGGGTGGAACGTACCATCGGAGCCAAAACAATCACACCAGCCGTCAACGCCACAATAGTCAAGACTAGTTGCAACTTGGAGAATCCCTTGCCTAGGACATCGAATGCCTGGCTGGGGGTTGCTCGCGTAGCGAAGATGTCTCCGCCAAAGGCGAAGATCAGACTAGTACTTTCGAGCAGCGTCGGGGCGGAAAGGACGCTCTTGATACCGGCAACGTCTCGGGAATGCGTGTGGTACCATTTGCCATCGAACTCGAGGAAGGGGTTGTACTTGAAGAGACCCTCTTCGGCTTCGGTGGAGGTGGGGTCCCGGCCGACAGGACGGCGGGGGTCAAGGACGGGACGGGGAATGCCGATGATGGCGTTGGAAGAGGGAAGGGTGCAGAGGAGTTGGCGAGTGGTGATGCCCTGGCGGGTTTGAGTGACGGCCATGTGAGAGATGGGTTCCGGGATGATGAAGGCTTGCGAGATCACATGGGGCAGAGGGAGGTCACTGATGCTGGAGTAGTTGGAGGCTGCGTCCAGCGGGCCACGGTCGTTAGGAACGGGAGACTCGTATAGCTCGGAGATCACCAGTTGGTAGCCCTTGGCACTGGAAGGGTCGACAGCGTCTGCCCAGAAGGAGTAGGCGAACCAGTTCTCCGAGACAACGGAGGAAATGGGCTTTGTGGGATCGACTCCTTGGTGGGTGCTGGAGTGGAGGATCTTGCCGGAGATGGCATCAAGGAGATAGAAGGTAGCAGAGCTCTCACCCACGGCGGTGATGAGGGCGAGGTTGGGGTTTAGGTATTTGTAGAGAACAGACCGGTTGCCCAGCACTTTACCGATAGAGGCAACGGGATCGTGGGAGGGCCGCGCGGTGGCGTGGATGATCTTCTCGCCTGAGGTGGGCAGGAACTGCCAGACAGGGTGCTTGTTATCGCGAGCAGCCCATCCGAGGACACGGCCATCATCGCTAAGCGTTATGAAGAAACCCGGGCCATCAATAGACTCCAAGGGTGTACCATTGTCCTTAATGCCGACGGTACGGGGAGCGGTGCCATCGTGGGCGACGGCAACCGAGCGGATCTTTGCAGTGCCGGGGGTGCGCGCCAGAATCTCGCCAGATGAGGCATCTAGAGTGACAGAGCTGCCATCATCGACATACACCGTAGCAGTGCCAGGATGGGCCAGAATAGCCTTCACATTCCACGAGTCCGCTTCCGCAGCCTTGACCTTCCAAGACACGGCGCCGTGCTTGGCGGCATCAAGGGCGTAGACTCTTCCGTTCTCTGTGGCCACAATAACAGACTTGACAATACCGAAACTATCGAGGTTGGAGACCTCATCGGTCAAGATACTGGTCAAAATGCGCTTGGGCAGCCCCTTCAGCCACTCGGGAAGATGCTGAAGGTCTCTGGCGTGACGCTTAACGCGGTGCACGTAGGCCCCGTAAAGGCTTTCGTGACCCTCAACTTCCAGTTGATGAGCCAGATCCTCCTGAACGGCCTCCTGGACCCAAGTAGCGGCCAGAGCACCCGACAGAGCTTCATATCTAGTCCATTCGGTCTGGCCATTGCGAATCAATTGCCAGTCGCCAGATTCCAAGGCAGCGGCCGTCCGAACAGCAACGCTCTTATCCTTGGCAACGACCTCCGATACAGAATGCAAAGCTTGCTCCATAGGGGGAGCTTGGTGGACCCATCTTCCCAGTACTCCGTGAGAGACAGAAGAAACGACAGTGGTCTCAGACTGAGTGATGCGGGTGAAGTAGACGTTGGCATCCTTGTTGCTCGTCGAGAAAACGGACCATCCCTGCAAGCGAGGAAGTTCGTAGGCCTTGGTTACCGAAGCGGACTTCAAGTCGACGTGATAAACTTCCGCCCAAGTGGTAGACTCTGTCTCGTAGTGCACCAGGAAATGCGGCAGCGACTCGAGCTTCTTGGGAGCATGAACCGTGATAGAGCTGACACTCTCACCACTTGTATTTTCAATATCAAACGAGTGTACCTGCTTCGTACCGATGACGTTGACCTTGAGTGTTTTGATTGACTGATCCGCCCAAACAATCATGGGTGCGGCAGTGTTCGCACCCACGAAGAGGACGGAGTTGGTGCTAGACAAGTCGCTTTCCGAGCTCAGAATATGCTGTCGAGTTTGGCGACCGGTCAAGGGATCCAAAGAAGTAACCTTGATTCTGTATCCTTTCCGGGAGGAGGGCTGCAGAGCGACGTAGAAGACCTCGGTGGCCGATGACGACAATTGGAGGGGAATATCGCCGCTACCGAGAAGTGTCAGCGATGAAAGCTCCAACAGCAGTCAATTTCAAGTATAACCGTACCTTTCGTCCAAGTGCTCCCACTTCGTCCGACCCGAATCTCCATCCAGCCTTCGGACAACGCCAGCCTTTCCGCTCCAAAGCGCCACAGTGTCTTTGGTCGATGGAGCCGCACTGGCATCCTCCAGCTCCAAAAGCTCGAGATCAGCGAGCACTTCGCCCTCAAACCAGTTTTCCCAGATCAATTTGCCATCCAGAGCAGTCCACGAAGAAATGTAATCGCCTAGCGCGCTGACCAGGGCGTTTGTGCCTTCGGAGGCGCGGAGAAGACCGTGGGGATTGCTTTCAGCAGCGGGCACATCAGATCGCGAGAGGTTCTGTCTCCAGACAAGAGAGCCGTCCCTAGGATTCACAGCACCGAGCAGCGACTTTTCCGAAAGAGTGTAGAGTAAGGAGGCATTGGAGGAAGCGGACGGTTTGAGGAAGAAGGTCGATTGGGAAGTGGGAAAGCCGAGCAGCGCGTGATGGTAGTCAACATGGTTGACCTCGTCCCGGTAAATGGCCAGGGATGAGGGAACGCACGAGGCGAGCAAGAGAAGCGTCGCCTGTAGCCACATGGTTATGACTGATGTTTCCGGTCGGGCATTGGAGGGCGACAGAGGAGAGAGGTAGCTGGGACGAGATGGAGGCCGACTAACGATAAGCTGCGGATCATCGATGACGGGCGGTGATGTATCATCGGGCAGAATCCCTTTTCCCCCGGTTTTTCTCCACTACAGCTTCAGCTTCTGGCTCGATTGCACTTCTACCAATTCTTCATTACCAGAAACAGCTTTTACGACATTTTACTGATGGGTGCTACTATGGCTGAAATTGACGTGGCTATGTGTCAATCAATTGAAGTGCGACACATGTCCTCTACCTAATTTTGATCGTTGTTTACGAGCAAGGTCCTTCAAGCTGCTACCAGAACGGTGATATAGTCCGAATTCATATACATTTTGATGCTTTCTATGTACAAATACAATCTGGGGAATTGAAGTAATGCTTATCAGATCCAAGAATCTCATGCTTGCCCGAAGCAGGTCTTGTTGGCAGCTCTGACAACCGCCTTCTCTCCCTCAGTCATGTCGTCGGTAATTTCCCATGGCTGACTTCCCATACCCATGGCGCGCAGGCCCTCTGCATCAACCGAGCTCCAGTCAAGTGCTCCCTGGAAACCGATCTCACCGGGTCCACCAGCGCCCGGGAAATCCCAAGGCGGGGAGTAAGCAAGCGCAGCCTGGCGCTGCTTGAGCAGGTAGTTCACGTTCATCTCGCACATAGGCGTGGCAGGGATGTAGAGAACGCTGGAGTCTCCCTTGCCGCGATGTTCCTTATCGACGGAGTGCAAGGAATCGCAGTGCCAGGCAACGTAGTCACCAGGTTCCACCTCAGGGACGGACACCATGGTGGTTTCCAGGTCCAAGTGAGGATGCGTGACGGGGTTGTATTCCTGGCATGTTCCGGGTACGGCACCAGGGAATGTGTTATCCAGCAACGGCTGCGAGGAGACTGGGTCGAAGAAAGGTCGGAGGATAGTGTAAGCGGTACTCTGAATGACCATGGGGCAAACATGCAGCGAGCCTTCGCCGGGAGCTGTGTTGGACATGGACAGCCATCCTTGGAAGAATCTCAGCATGGAGCAGGAACCAGCGCCGTTATACATGTCCATGTTGGCCGAGACACGGTGCTTGGCGTCCCATGGGTCGTATTCCTCCCATTTGCCCTCTAGAATCTTGGAGTAGACTCGGGAGTATTCAGGATCCTCCCAGCGCTCCAATGATCCACCATCAATATGAGGGCCAAGGGTGAATTTTGCGTCGCCAGGTTGCCTGATGCGGAGTCTGTCTGCGTAGGTCAAAGGATTCCGAGTCGAGATCGGAGTGTTGGGATCGGACGAGTGCCAGAGGCGCTGCAGGAATCGCTGGGTACCGAGCATGCTCGGATGTGCTCGGGCCTCTGCTTGGGATGGAGTCCAGTACAGCTCATAGACTGCTGGGGAGTCGGGAGGGAAGGCCTTCACGCGCTCTTGGTTGGCAGCAGCATAGTCCTTGATCCTCTCCTTCCAGTCGAGGGCTTTCTCTCGAGGCACCACGTTTCTGATGACCACGGAACCTCTGTGACGGATCTCCGCAAGGAGATGGTCTGGGACGGTGCCATTAACCACGTCGGAGTATTGCACTGATGGGATGATCTGGACATTCGGTTAGTGACACTCACTCATACATATAGAAGATGCCATGGGAACTTACATCGCTTCCTTTGGCCTTGATCTTGTGCACTTCCTCTTCCAAGCTGGGAAGGAGTCGCTCCCAACTGTCCTTCAGAGCCTTTTCATTCTTTTCAAAGTATTTCAGCTTCAGATCCCTGAACCGCGGGGGTAGTGGCTCTGGCTTGTAGTCTGGTCTCAAACTGGGGAAGACGCTGGAAATATCGCCCGCGGCCTTGGTCATCGACGACGCTGAAGTCGACGTGGACGCGGCGCGGGCGGCCGTTTTTGAAAGAAATTTAGACATAGACATGATACCTATCTTTCCAATGTGTACTGGAAATCTGGATTTTTCTGATCACTGGCAGACAGGACCTCTTGCGATTGATATACCTGCGGCTGGGGCGGAATATTGTCGGGAAACCATATTAAGTAGCCGGCCCGATTACCATATACGGAAGTTCCCCGCCTCCCCCGCAAAAGCGGCAACAAGAAAATGCGGGAATGTTGCTCTTTGCGGGATCCACATTGCCCCGGAATGAACTATTGCCTTCACTTGAGGTTGTCTCATACGTATTTCAGAGGCGAAAAATTGAAGGAAGCTGGGATTTATAGGTCATGGCTCGGGGATAGAGTTCAGACTAGCCATCGTACTCACCGATAAACAATTGATACGAAGGCACCCTCCATAGCAGGCCCGCTGCAACCGCCCTTGCACGTCCTGCACAGAAAGCAGTGGATCAGGTCTCGTTGCCAATGACTTCAAGCGAGCTGATCGGCACTTTCACCGAGGGGAGTACCCCGAGAGGCAGCGGTCAGACAGGAGTTGATGACTTGTCCTCGGTCTTGTTCCGGGTTTCTACCACCTTTAGGGCTCTCGTCCTCGGTCTAGTGATACAGCGACATGCCCATGGGGTAGGCCTGGGTCCCGTATCGAACCCCTCCGGAACAGCCATAAAGTAGCACAGGGCCACTCGGCAGAAAGCCACCTAACCACCAAACCACACTCCCCATTGCAGCTTCCTGGGTCTCAATCCCACTTTAGAATGTCCTTCGCCGTTCAAGGCCGAGCTGCTATCGTGACGGGGGCAGGTTCAGGTTCGTCACGCATGGTATTCAGCCGATAAGCAAACCTCACTCTAAGTTGTAATTGTAGGAATTAACCTGTCCTTCGCCAAACTTCTCCTCGAGCATGGATGCAATGTCCTGTTCGCCGATCTAGCCCTACGTCCAGAGGCAAAGACGCTAGTGGATCAATACTCAGCGAAGGGCAAGACGCCACGAGCCGTCTTCCAGCGGACCGACGTGACCGATTGGCAACAGCTCGAGCACATGTTCGAGGTAGCAGAGCAGGAATTTGGGGAGCTCGATATTGTGTGTCCTGGCGCAGGCATCTTTGAACCGGTATAGTTTCCCAATCCACTGATACCAGTGTTATGCATCACGCAAGGGGTAGTATTCTGCAGGCACGTTCGTTTGCTCACGCCCGATTTACCTCACAGCACTGGACCAACTTCTGGCGTCCTCCGGGAACCCCTGAAAGCCGTGACCCGCGGTATGGAGGCCGCTATGCCCTCCTCGATATCAATCTCACGCATCCGATTCGTACGACACAGCTAGCCATTGCCCATTTTCTACGCCATGGGAACAAGCAGCGACGCAAGCACATCGTCCACATCTCCAGTATTGCCGGCCAGAACCCCAACTTCATCGCCCCGATCTATGTTGCCACGAAACACGGCATCAATGGTTTGGTACGGTCGTTGGCTGGCCTGGACCAGGAGTGCGGAATCCGTATCACAGCTGTTGCGCCGGGAGTTATCAAGACGCCGTTGTGGACGGACCATCCTGAAAAGCTCAAGGTAGTGAATGAAGGGGCGGATGCATGGGTAACTCCAGAAGAAGTAGCACAGGTCATGCTGGCGCTTATCCAACAGGACAAGGTGAGCGGTATCATTGGGGATCAGAGTGGTCGTGGTCCCCAGTACCCAGTCAGTGGTGGAACTATCCTGGAGGTCTCCAAGACAGTTCGGGCAGTAGAGCCTTTCAATGATGCTGGGCCTGGAGATCGTCCAGGAAATACGGTCTCCGATAACAGTGCAGTGATTAATGAGACACTTGGTCTGCTGTCGCAGCCTGGATGGGGAGTGCCCAAGTTGTAGATAGATGGAGATAGAAATAATACTAATACTACTTTGGCTTTCAAGATGCTGAAGGCTTAAGCAATTCCGAAAACGAATGACCATTATCTACTCACAATAGGTTATATAAGCCAGCTTCGCGTAGCTTCAACTACTGGAATCGAGCAGGTGGCGGCCATATCCCATCTCTGTCCTCCCTAAATTTCGCATTGACGGCCGCATGCAACCTGGTCAGCTCCGAGGTATGTCGATAGGGCTTCCGTCTCGCCTCGCCCTGGAGATCGCGCTGAACCAACCGCGCGAACAATGTCGGGGCGATATGCTTGATGTCGACTTTTAGGGGTTGTAAAGCCTCGGACTGAGCTCCAGTCGCAGCTCCAGTCCCGCTTCCAGTCCCGCTTCCCATCTTAGTTTCTGGCTCTGGCTCTGGCTCTCTCTTTGCCTCGGACTGGGATTCCGGCTCAGCTAACCAGATATACGGCCGTGTTGTTTCACGCGAGCGGAAAGCCTCGTCATTGACATAGAGAAAAGCATCGCGTCGAAAGCCAGCAGGAATCTCGCCGTTTGGGAGCATTGTGCTGAAGAACCTGCGCCGTAGTGCACTAGGGTCCATATTGTTATTCCTAGTACTACCTGGAACAGCCACCCAGTGCAATGCGAACCGGTCTCTCGTCTCGTCCTTAATCAACCTCGCTGAATAGTGTAGTCCATGGTAAACAGCCGTTCTGATTAGGGATTTATATTGTGGAAGGCGCCCTCCTTCCTCTTCTTCTCCTTTCGGGTAGAATACCACGAGACCAAAGGGACCACCTTCTTCACCAAGGCCAGACTCACAACCAGGAACAGAATCACGCGCTGAAGCTGAACTGGATTGCAGTACATGCTCCTGCCAGGGAACCTTCAAGGCAAACAGAATATTCCTAATGTCATCATCATTCAGCGCGTTGGCCGCCATCAACTCCACCTTTCGCCATCGCTGCAGAACCTTCTGCGCCACCTCCATAGCAGCCCGAATATCGTCTGTCCTCGCCGCTACTATAGCTCGAGCCTTAAGGTCCCGATCTTCGGGAGAAAGGCGCGCCACCTCGGACAGGATACGGCCCGATTGTCCCTCGACTACGCCGGTCGTTAAGAGACCGGCTTCTTTATGGCTCAAGCCGAGGCTGCTAAGGGGGATGTCGTTGCCGGTATTATTGCTGCTATTGATGGCTTTGGTAATTAGTTCGCCCATGGACAAGCCGCAGGCATTTCGACAGAGGGTGTCTTCCTCGTCTGGTAGGGGGCGGTAGGTGATGAGTCGACGTTCTTGATCTGTTAGTGAAGAGGGATTGGATATGGCGCGGCTGTAGAGGGTGCGTGTTGATTCATCTAGGACTAAAGGGGTGGTATCTCCAGCATTGATGGGAAGCCACATTATGTTGACAACTGATTATGTGATGATCTAGAAAGAAGAGGGTTATTGTGTGCAGAGATTTGGTTGTAGCAGAGTTAGACGGCTGTTGTCTCAAGCAGCATGGGTAGTTTACCTTAATTAGCCCTCATAGTAACAACTTATACTCCTATCAGATTTTAATTCATAGGGGTAAATTATAGACTTTGTAATCACCAAATTGAGATAGATTTAGTGCCCAAATGGTAGATACTAGATGAACGGGATAAAGCATATATACAATTCCAGAGGTCAAACGAATACATGTCATGCAAGCACGAGAAGTATTGATACCTATGCTTACTCCGTTAGTTAACTAATTAGTTACGGTGTGGCTGGGTTGGGTGACTCAGGCGAGATTCAGCCAAATATGGAAACTCTTTCCAGTCTCATCCTGTCGCCAGCTAGGAAAGATAATATTACGTATTACTGGGTCAAGGCAGGCTGGCACTCTGCAGATTGCGCGAGGGCACTAAGGAATGGTGTATGACCTGTGCTTCAGCCTGGAGTAGTAGTACTCCACTCACTGTCTCAGTAAGTACATGACCTGGCTTACTGTCCTTACCACAGCAGCAATTCTGTAAGCTTTTAAGCAACAAAACAATGCTTCAGTACCAGCCTTCTTCTCACCTTGATTGTGGGCTTCTGATAACATTGCATGATACTACCAAGTAGACAACTAGTAGACAATAGGAAGGTGTAGTCGTGACAATCTGGGGAAAAGAAGTGAAGCCACCAATGGCGGAGGGCGATTAAGGGACTGACTAACTAGACTCTCCACCGCCTCCGCTCCTTCGGCGGCATTTGGATTGCGCTGTTCATTCCCTTTCCCTTTTCCTTCTTCTTATCTCCGGATGTCTTTCCCTTCTCCAACCCCTCTTTTTTCTTAATTTCTCCTTTAATTCTCCCTCTCCAACTAACTTCTTCGTTGATTTGATTTCCGTTCCTAACCGTCTTCCGAGCACATCTCCCGCTGCACCGCTGGTTCGAGTGAACTTCAACCGACTATGGTTGGTTGATCACCCGCAATCTTTTGTCGTGTGGCCACCTTCAATCCTTATCTACCGCCTCCAAAAGAACTACTCCTACCACCTCCTCAACACAACTCGACTCTTCCTCCCACTTACTTCCTCACGATGATGGACGACGAAGCTTCCGTCGGGATTGGCTCCCCTCGAGCCGGTTCTCGAAGGTAACCTATAACACCTCCAATTCGGAGTACTTCCCCTGCTCTCAAGCCTTATCGCTGACAGGTACCCATCGGTCGCAGACACGGCGGCAAAGGGAAACGAAGCATCGGACATCATGGCGATGCCAGCTGGGTCAGCTGTGTGATCAACTTGGTCAACACAAGTGAGTCAGGCCGGATATCATATACCTTTACTCCGCAATCGTTACTGACTCATGCTCTGTCCTTGTCTGTTAGTTATCGGTGCCGGTGTTATGGCCATGCCGCTAGCCATCTCTCACATGGGAATCGTCCTCGGTGTCTTTGTGATTCTATGGTCAGGAATGACCGCAGGTTTCGGTCTATATCTCCAGTCTTTATGTGCCCGATATCTCGAACGAGGCACTGCATCCTTCTTCGCCTTATCCCAGATCACCTATCCTAATATCGCTGTCATCTTCGATGCCGCCATTGCGGTCAAATGCTTCGGAGTCGGTATCAGCTACCTCATCATCATTGGCGATCTGATGCCGGGCGTGGTTCAAGGATTCGTTGGAGGTGCTCCCGACTATGACTTTTTGGTGGACCGGCATTTCTGGGTAACGGCCTTCATGTACGCTGACTACGGCATTGAGTGCGTCGGACAGTGCTAACTAGTTTCAGGCTCATCGTTATCCCTCTCTCATACCTCCGTCGCTTGGATTCGCTCAAATACACAAGTATTGCAGCTCTGGTCTCGATGGCCTATTTGGTGGTATTGGTCGTATACCACTTTGTGAAAGGGGACACCATGGAGGACCGTGGTCCGGTTCGAGTGATTCACTGGGCAGGCCCTGTGCCTACCCTCAGCAGTCTGCCTGTCATTGTTTTCGCGTTTACATGCCATCAGAACGTATGTTCCCGAGACCCACAACCCAAATCTTCACTTCCATGGTTCATTGCTCTGACGTGCACCTCAGATGTTCTCAATTTTGAACGAGATCGGCAACAACAGCCATTTCCGAACCACCGGTGTTGTCCTGGCCAGTATCGGTAGTTCTGCCGCCACATACATTCTTGTCGCTATCACTGGGTACCTCTCCTTTGGAAACAGTGTCGGCGGAAATATCGTGAGCATGTACCCACCGGGTCTTTGGGCTACGATTGGCCGCGCTGCTATCGTCATGCTTGTCATGTTCTCGTATCCTCTTCAGTGCCACCCGTGCCGGGCCTCCGTTGACGCAGTGCTGCGCTGGAGGCCCAAGTCCTCGTCCAATAGCGACACCGCCCCTCATCGGAACCCTCTCCTGGGCCAGAGGGGCGGCCGAACTGCGGAGCCGATGAGTGACCTCCGATTCTCGATCATTACGACTACCATCCTTGTACTGAGCTACATTGTGGCCATGACTGTGTCTTCTTTGGAAGCTGTTCTTGCCTATGTCGGCAGCACAGGAAGCACCAGCATTAGTTTTATCCTCCCGGGATTATTCTACTACAAGATCTCCTCTCCCGACTCGCCCCACCACCAGCGTCTGATGAAAGAAGACGACGAAGCAGCGGAAGGTATGCTGTCCGACGATAGCAACGACGAAGATGGAGAAGAGAGCGTGCAGGCACGCCCCCTAACCGACAGCGGCATCCTCCGCCGAGGAAAACGCCACTGGCGCCGAACCCTACTACGAAAGTTGAGTTTGGCACTCGTAGTATACGGAGTGGTGGTTATGGTCGTATGCCTGATCACGAACTCTGTTTTCATTGCTTCTCACTAGACGGGTTTTGGTTTGGTTTTGGATGCGGGGAAGGTGAAAAAAGATCTGGATGCGTTCCATTTCCGTCCATTAGCTTTTTGGCCCTCGTGTGAGGTGACCTTTTCCGCTTTCCTACTAAATTTAGACACTCCCTACCAATCTTCTTTTCTTAGGTTTATTTCTTTGTTTCTTGCATCTATTGGTTTCCTTTCGGGTTTGCGATCTAGATCTGGGCTCTTTTCGTCCTACGGTTACAATGTTGGGGTTTCTGCACGCTATACCATTGCACCGGCGTTGGGGTTCGTGTTTGGTCCGGTTTAGATCAACATCCTAAACCTTGGAATATATCTTTTCAATCTAATTGATGCCTTTACTTTCTTACCAATCCATCTCTCTTACTTTTGGCCTGATCTTGTCGGCTGGTCTTGGTTCTGTTAAGTTACTACGTCCTATGAACCTGGTTTCTTGCTTTCCATAGACAGATACTCCGGTTCAAATGAATACAGAACTTATTGAAGTCGATCTACTAATTATAAAATACTACTAATACAAGCCAGGATGTCTTATCACAGGTCATTGCAACTATAGAATGGATGTAGATAAACAGGCTTGTCTGAACGAGTGAAGAGAAGTAAACAAAGACCAACGCAACTAAAACTAATCGATGGGTACAGTATCATTAGGCAATACAAGCAAGTCAGGTGAGGTATTCTATCACCGCATGAAGCATAGAAGAGAGTCCATCCCACGATCACTCACTGCAATTCCTCAACCACCACCGCTACCAGCAAGTAGCACAATCTGTATCATGGCAAACTTACCCCCACTACCACCTATCCTTCCTTACAACCCATCAAAATAACAACCAGGTCATCCCAACCTAGTTATTATTCTGACTATTCAGAATCCTCAAAATCGCCAAAAACAGATTCAGGATATCCAAGTACAGCGAAATGCTCGCGGCAATCTCCTCCTCAACATGATAATGCCTCATCACCAACTGCGTATCAACAAGAATATACGCGGAGAAGATCAATGCCGCCAGGCCCCCATAAATCAGCTCGACGGTGCTATTGGCAGGGAAAAACACGGCCACGAAGCCAAACAAGATCAGGAACCACAGGCCACCGAAGAGGTAGGGCATCCAGTTAGTGAAGTCGTACTTGGTCTGGCAGGCGAAGAGGGTGAGAGCGACGAAGAGACCGAAGGTGAGGATGAGGGCTTGGATGACGAGCCGGGCGTCGTAGAAGGAGGTTACGACGCTGATGGAGTAGGCTTCGAGAAGGGTGAATCCGGATAGGAAGAGGAGGTTGGCCGGGTAGGATTTGCGCTTCCAGTAGGTGACGAGCATGAAGCCAAGGGCGCCGAAGACGGAGACCATCATGAGCCAGAAGTTGGATTGGATCCAGAGGCGGTAGCTGGGGGAGAAGAAGGAGATGGAGCTGAGGATGGTGGTGAGGAGGAGTTGGGCCGTTCTGTTTTGTGATTACTCTCTTGTCAGTTTTGTTCTGATGCTATTCTTGATTATTGCTTTCTTGGAATATAGTGTATGTGGTGCTTACAAGATGGAATAGACCTTCCGGATGAACTGCATACGGATGGGCAAGGTGCCCTCCGCGACGGTGCCGCCGAACTAAACAATCACATCTGTTAGTTGTTTTTTGTTCCTCCCAGATGATGCAAGCTTCTTTGTTGAAAGTGGTGGTGTATGTACCTTGAAATCGTCAGGAACATTGTCGTCCTCGCTGCGTGGTGCTGCTTGCGAGTAGTCGGCCGTTGCCTGATAAGACGGCGGGGGTTGAGGATAGGCGCGCTCCTCGAAGGAGTCGCGCTGCGGAGCAGGCTCGTATCTGGTGTTAGCTGCCATTTGCAACTGTAATGAGTTTCAGTTGTCTCTGACGCTGTCAGACTAGTAGTATGGATGGAATGAGTTGATGGGACAGTCTGTCATATTAGATAGTTAAGATAGACTAATCGGGGAAGGGAAGGAAGGAGAGGAGAGAGAGGGCCGAGAACCGCTGCGGCGCCGCGGCTCAACGGCGCTCCGGGGCAGGTGACGTCGGTGGTGTCACCTGATGGTGTTATTGCCTTAGGCAGACGTATACTATCGCCATCTAGTATGTTCTAGTAGTATGCATAGGATTCACTACGTTTACACTACCAAATTGGTCTATAATACATGTCATGTGAGTGCTTGGATACGGAAGAAGCTTTTAGGCTCCAAGTATTCCCATAATGCTCCATTAACTCCAATCATATGCCTCTATTATGTTAGTATGTATCATATCTATCGTAATAAGTATATATATGCCATCAAAAAGAAATCGTAAAGCAAGTTGTCACCCATTAGTCACCGTCTGCTTCCCCTCTAGTTTCGCTCCTCGTGGAACGGAAGCTCTTCCATTATCACATCATCATCCAAAGACGCTCTGCCGTCGTGGTATTCATCGTCAGTGGAGTCATCCGGGGTATCCTCTGAGCCACGGAGTGGCTGAGCGCCTGGATCTTGGCCCGGACGCTTCTTCCGCTGAAAGTCCTGTGCATGCGCCGAAGCCAGCAACGAGCCGACACGGGAGAGGCCGCGATTGCGGACCGACATGCCTGGAGTGGACGGGGTGCCGTGCTCCACATCGTGTGCTTGCGGTTGCTGCTCTTCCAGGGGCACACCATCTGCTTGTTGGTCAACCTGCGCGGGCGGGAGGGAGACCTGGTATGGCAGAGGCACATCCCTGGACGCCCGGAACAGCAGGACATTGGTGCAGTGCTCATTCTCCACACGGAAGATCGTCCAGATACCTCGTCGGCAGACTTCTGACAGCGCAACGAAAAAGCTGAGCAACGCGGAGTGCTGCATATCTCTTGTAAAGATAGCATAGAAAATCCAGTTGAATCGCACAATGACGTCGATGACCATCGCAACATAGTATACCCATGCTTGACGGAACGCCAGGACATCGCGCAGCAACGGGCGCTTGGCGTAGGCGTTCCCCAAACTCCAGTCCATGACAAGGTCCCAAACTGACACATACACGGCGTTGAGCAGCGCAAAGGTGATGAACGTAGCCTGGAAGCGTTCCGCTTTATCGATGCGGTACAAGCTCAGAGTGACATAGTATAGAATGGTGAACGTGTATTTGCCAAAGTTCAGCAAATGCGGAAAGGCGTTCCTAGTATCTGCGTAACGTCGCAGACACTGCAAAGCTCTCCAAATGCCCGGTAGGCAGGTAAAGAACCCAAGCAGCCTGGAATGCGAAGAGTTGCACTGGGGAGGGTCACCCCAATAATGTGCGTAGAGACAGAAGAATAATTCGATATTCTAACACAAATCAGCCACAACACGTTAAGCGTACGACAACCGGGTTACTCACCCCCATGGCATATGTCTGGGAGCAATACATGTCTCCCAGAAAAAAATCACGGAACTCAACCGGATAGAACCCTGCCAGAAGCAGACGCCACTAGATTCGTTAGCAGTGGCTTAGGGCCCGCTATGGACGGCTTCACTCACATTAGAATATGCCCACCATTTGCGGCTGCGGTGGTACAGTGTCCGCACGGGTAGGAAAAGAAGGACCGTGGTCAAGCCGACAAGGACAACAGGCCAATAAATATACATGCTATTAACTGACATGAAATTGAGCCACATGCAGAGACCCAGCAGAAAGAAGAAAAATGACGGCAGCTGTTACAGTTAGACACAATCAAAAAACCACGATAAAGCACCATACCTCAGTAAGCTGACGCCAATCTAATGCATGCCTGGTATCATATTCAAACACAAAGACGTAGTTGATCTTGGCCCGAGTCCAGACCATACAGTCTAGGCAGAACAAAAGGAAATGAAGTACAACGAGGAAATAGCCCCCATATATCTGCGCACAGTTAGCTAACAGCAGGCACTCAGAACGATGAATACTGACCTGAAGCAAGTAGCTTGTATGAGTCTTTAGTTCACCATCCCGATCATGAAGGTTCTGTACTGCATATACTAATGACTGAGCACCAAACAGGACACCACCCATCAAGAGCACACCGGCACGGAACGTGCACGGAGAATAATCTCCGGATTTATTGATGGTGTGGCGCAATTTCGAAGCGGCGATCTTGCGGTTGCCGCGCTCGAAGTAACGAGCGTACAGGTCTTCTGCAGCGGACAGCAGATTCTCAGTGACTTCGCTTTGAACGAACCACGACTTGTTGACTTTCTCAGACATGTATCTCTGCGCAGGACGCGCATTAGTAGTCTTGTCATATTTCTTGTTGATCTTACGGAAGGCAGTCCTGTTCAGGTAGGCGTACGCCTTCAGCAGCTCCACACCGCGGTAGTACTCCTGAAGCGCGTGCTTCAGCTTCCTTTTAGCGGAGCGATAGGAGACATCGCTGTTGGTTGGATCCTCGGGCCGACGGATGAAATCGCGACGCGACACTGTATGGTCGGGATCCTGTCCTTGTAAGGCTGCTGAAGGGGTGCCCAACTCTGCAAGGGCTTTAGAGTTCTTTCCGAAATGACGTCCAGTGAGAGCGCCGCGTATGCCGAAGCCAGCGAGGCCACCTAGGGGGCCGAATGCATGAGACTTTGGCATTCCTTCTTTCTCTGGCCGGGCCAACTTGGCACCTAGAACTTCCTGTGTGCGTTGGTCCCGCATGATATGCAGCTGATGACGAAGCACCTTGAGGCGTTCTGCGGCCTCCTCTTCCTTCATCTGATAGAAAGATTCTATCTTGGTCAACTCGCTATCCAAAAAGGCGAAGAACTCGTCCTGGCGCTTCTCGAACTCAGAAGATCCATCCGCTCCACGCTTCTCGGGGGAATCCCAGTCCGGATAGGACAGGACGCGCTGGAGCAACGATCCTCTCCGGTTTGGAGGGCCTGGGGTTGCATTCCGCTTATGATCCTTCTGGGGCGTCGCAGGACTCCGGTGAACTATGCCCTTGGTCGCAGTTCGTGTGCTCGCATGTCGCGACATCACCGGCGACGGTGTCTCAGGTACACTGGTCTGCTCCGCATCCCTCTCCGACGAGTAGTCATTATGCTTTGGGTCGATGGCGGGATCTGGCAGTCGAAGGGAGGCGACATCCGATGATGCAGCGTTCAGCGGAGGAGAGGGTACGATACTTCCGTAGCTTCCAATGACGCCTGAAAACCTAGAGCCGGGTACACGCAGGGGCTGACGCTCGCTGCGGCTAGAGCCCGAGCGCGGTGAGCGTGGCGTAGGACCACTGCTTCTTATAGGGGTGGAAGGAATGTGGGAGGGATCATTGGCATCGAGTCTGCTACTGGAGCGTCGGAATGGGGACGGGCCATCAGAACCAGCAGGACGGTCATCTTGGTCGTCATGCGCGGAAGCATTGTGTTGTTGAAGAGAGGGATGACTGGGGCTTCGAGAGGTTTTTTGGAGAGCGCGAGAGATCGCTTTGACTTTCTTCTTGCCGGTCTAGAAGGTTTAAAAAAAGCAAGAGACCCGTTAGCATCCAAATTGTAGCTTAAATCAAAAGAAAAATGAAAAAGCGTCAGTACGGCAACGATATACTGACCTTATAATCTAGATATTTGGCGCGCCACTCTGGAACCAGTTGCTGTTCCAGCTCCCTAATTTCAGCACGAACAGCTGGTTATTCTGGATTCTCAAACACAAGCTTCAGGTAGTTGAAAGGAATGAAACTAACTTGGCGAATTTCATCGTGAGCAAATGGAGCTATAGCCGGGCATGATACTAAACGCAAACGAGCAAACGGCGGGCACGAGAGTATATAGCAGAAGCAACGATCGCATTGGCGACGAGTCACGGCGAGAAAATGACAACTGGAGCTAGTAGTAGTAGTATCAAGACATATATAGTTAAACAGGCAAAGGAAGGACGAGAGAAACTTTCAGCTCCCGTAGGAGCAGCCGACGCCTCGAAAACTTTCTTTTTGCTGCACTTCTTTTCCTGTTCGAATCAAGCGACCCAATAGTCTGGAACCGGGACGGTCATTATTATCTCGATTACGAGCCGGACCAACAGGAGGAAGAGGAGAAAGAGCCAACCAAGACAGGGCACACAAGGGGCAAGAAGCGAAGGGAACTGGGATGAACTTCCCAATCGACGCAGGAAAACCTTGAGATACGATTGAACTCGTCATCGTGCGAGACAAGCCAGCCAGCCGATTCATGCCATTTCCATTTGGTCAATCAGGCCCCAAATCGGACTGCGCGCGCATCTGATAGGCTGCGATGGCTGCACGTGCTGCATGCGATGAGCTCATTTGCTCGCCGCCGGATTAATCTGCCTATTGGAGTTTGGTTTCAGGATGAACCCGGTTCCGATGTGAGTGAAAGAGGTAAAGTAGGGCCAGACCGCCTTTCGCCGCCCCCTCCCAAGGCAATCCCGAGGTTTGATGTTTAATGTTTGCTCGTTGTTCCGTGGATAACCTGCCCGGCTTGGGTAATTACCCCTGTTGAGGTGGGCGACTTGCCTGGTTCGCGATATTGAATTGTTGAAGTTCATGTTAATGATGTTAGCTGACATTAAACATTGTCTTACAACTTCTGAAGCCCATGTGGGTGATGCGCCCGTCGCCTTCCCGCACACCTTGCATCTATGCGTCCAAAACAGACCCTTGCGCCCACCGTCAACACATGGATAATCCGCGAGCTTTCCTGAACGGGTGGAATCCTGCATATTCGTCTCCGGGGCAAGATCTCCATGATTCTACTGTTTGTTTGGTATGGATTACGAAGCGCAAGATAAGCGTTTGTTTCACATTTGAGATAATAAATAATTCATTTGGATATCTTGGTTTATTAGATAAGAATACATGCAGGAGAGGCCGTGTGTTACCAGCGCTCTCAATCCATGATCATATTCGTTTCATTTCCACCATCCATCTTCGTATCAACCCCTGATGATAGGGCCCAAATCCAGTTGGTTTCCCATCACACACAAAGAGGCTTCTTACCAGCCACCACGGCGGCCCTCGAAGCGGTCAGGGGGAGGGAAGCGGCCGGGGTCGAACTCGTCGGCACCGTGTCCGCGCTCGTAGTGCTCCTCGTACATGTGGTGAGCGTTCTTCTTGGCGTGCTCGCGGGCCTTGATCTTGTCGACCTCGTCCATGCCCTTGGTCTCGGCGAGCTTGTCAACCTCAGCGCCAACAACGGCGGCGAGGGCCTCCTTGGCGAAAGCGTGGCTGACGGTCTTGCCTGTAGGTCAGATGTGGTTAGCATGGCAAACTTCACAGGGCTGAAATGGTTCTGAATGGGGTATGCATACCCTGCTTGCGCTGGTGGTCCTCCCAGGCCTTCATGCCAGCGAAGGAAGCGGCACCGGCAATGAGCTCGTGGGACAGGTGACCCTCGTGCTTGTTCTCGTACACCTGACGGTGAGCGTCGTCGGATTGATCTAAAGATCCATGTTAGTTACTGAAGGCCCTGATAAACGTCGTATCGGTGAAGGCACGAGGCCAATGACCAGACAGGGGAACCCGGTCAGGCCAGATGGAAAGGTGAAAGTGTAAGAAAGTATGTAACTTACCCCAGCCCCAGGCCATGATGATTGTTGTATGAAGTAGTAAAGGGTTTTAGGTAGAGTAGAAAGTAGAGTGTTTGATGGGAGAGAGAAGAGAAGGTCTCGATGGGAGGGGACAGAGCATCTTATATATGTGCTGCCTAGACAACCCTACTCAGCATCTTCAGCTCTCTTGGGGCGCCCCTCCATCGACCACCCTCAGAGTGCCCCACCATCTAATCTCACGGAAATGCATCGAAAGTCTTGAGGGGGCGTCGGATAAAGAACAACATGGTTCGCTCCCGACTGTGAAAGGGTGGATCGAGGGGAAGATCACATCCAGTGAAGGGAGTGGACACAGGCCAGCTGAAACTGCGCAAAGGAGGCAGCGCTTCGAGGGGATAGATGGATCGGGATTTGATTGGAACAGATCATCGCTTAGACGCTACAGGACCGAATAATTGAGCGGTAGTGAGGGCGAGAAGCACCCAGCCACAGCCTCGTGGAGCGATGTGATGGGCACGGAATTGTCCAGGAGGGGCAGTCGAGGGGTAAGTTACTAGCCTCAATAAGTTGAAACATCAGGTTCCAATCATGTAAGAGGAATCGTGTATCTCCGGTTGGGGATCCGTGGTCATATCTGGGTGAGCATCGATCCTGTGCCCCTCTTTGTCAATTCTTACGGCCGAGGCAGCGAATGTCTGCACCTCGTCCAGGCTACAATGGCGATAGGCTACCACCATCTATCTAGTGAAATGTTCCCGCTGTCGTTTTGGGGGCCATGCAGATGCCCTTGCGTGTTCTCCTGCAGGCCAATTGGAGTCCTCACGGCCTGGAGTAACGACCATCCGGATCATCGCCTGAGCAAAAGTGCGTACGTACGCGTCCAGGGTCGGAACCACGATGTTATTGCTGGGCGACTGGGTCGAGATGGGGATCTCCTCAGCCTTAAGTCTGGGCGAATCCATTTTGGCCCATTTAGCGCCGCAGCCACAGTTTGCCCAGGCTTGGCGGGCGCATGATGAGCCGGTCGACCCGGTCAGCTTCTCGTCTTGGTGAGGCTTGTCTGAATATCAGGTGGAGGGTGAGTGATTCCCCCGCCTTTTGGGTGATATCTCTAAGTCTATCGACGGAGTATCGGGGTAAAGCTGTCACAGACAAGTGTCAGGGACTTAGTCTCAAACACTTTCAGCCGGCTAGACTGCTAGAGAGCCTCCAATCTTCACACCTAAAACTGGGATTCTATTTTGGGTCTTCGGACAATCGGGCGAGTGGGCAAAAAGTGGTGGAATCGGTGGAATTCCCCCCACTGCCATTGCCCGATCTGGTCATTTCCTCAATAGTGCGAAAGTAATGCCCCTCACTGTGGCGCAGTTTCATCCCACCGCGTGGTGGCGGTGTGTGGCTTGGCTAGATACCATCTGTCTTCTTCTCCAAAATATTTACTCTGTACTAATAATATCCCTCACTTAATGGCATCCGCCTGCCGAGAATATTATGTCGTCATAGTCGGTGATGTGTTGTTTCACTTAGCGCTTGAGGCATTCGGTGAGTGAACTCCGTAGTCAGCCTGAAAAGTATGCTATTCATTGCCTCATTTGCGTGATATCTTCGGCTCCGGGAAAGTGGTCATCCGGCAATAAATATACTTTCAACATGTGAATTTTATGTCCTCCAATGATGTGCATATGTTGCGTGACAGGACACACACGGATCTGGCATATGCGATAATGCTGTGCATGCATTCAATACTATAGACATGGTCTGGAATAACTGTCAATGAGGGTGGAAGTCACTCAGAAGCGTGTCTTTCCAACCCGCTGCCTTACATGGCCTGATCGAATATACTCAGCCTGTCTTTTCCATACCTTTTGAGTTAAATGAACAATTGGTAGCTTGCGATAAATGACGATACATACAAGAGAGTACTAGAATAGTAAGCATGGAATATTGCGAACTTATGACACTCATTGCAGTTTCAATTATACTATCTCAGTATTCAATCGATACTAGGAGTATTGACAGTGCAACCTCTTATTGATATCAAAATAGACCAAAGCACAGTATATGATACTACTACCCGCGACTGCAGTAGTGTAAGTGCTATACTTCTGATACTAAAGAGCACCCAAGTCCATTCTTATCATGGCAACATGCCCATCTCCATTCCTAGTCGTTGCATACCTAATCAAATCCTGTAGTATTCCTCCAGTACTTTCGGTTTGGCTCCTAGAGAGCCTTTCTTGACAGCCGCCAGAGAATTGGCAAATCAAAGGAGAACATAGCCTGAAGAGGGAAGTTATAGAGCTGGGGACGCAGATTGAAAAGGACAAGACATAAAGAAGATCAACATCTGGATGCCTGAAGGATGCCACCTAAATGTGTAGGCAGTGACCATGTCAAGTAAGTCTGGACACTGATCTGAGTACAGCAGCCCTGTTCTCTCGAAGGATATTATTAGGTACATCTCATGGCTGTGTTTTAGTTTAGTGATCAAGTTTATGAGTTGTACACACAAACAAGGATGCAATAGATATAGACAATCCCAAGAGATTAGGATGACAAAGTAAACACTCATATTGAGTCACTTAAATGTGCATAAATACTTAATTTAAGCCTGCACACATGCGTCTTCGTAGACCCTAGTTAGTACAATCAATTGGACCAACAGACTGTCCCTGACGCACTAGTCCCAAACAGGCAACTAACTGCTGGAGCTTCAAAACTTCAACCAACAACCTTCTATCAGACTTCTACATTATCACCTCTCTTGAACCTCTCTAAACTCTACACGCAAACCACATATCATACACAGGATACCCTAAAGTCACCACATTATATCCTCCACGAAGTATCCACAACAACCACAACCACAGCCACAACCACAAATACAACAACACTGAACCAACCCCGCCAACCTCACTACATCTACCACCACCACCACACTACCTACCCATCTCCAACAACCAAACCACCCTCCAAACCACCCAACTCCCATCCAAAATGCCATCCACCCCCCCTACCTCCTCCCACTTCCCCCCGCACCTAACCCTAACCATCACGCCCCCCTCATCCACCTCCACCACCACCAGCACCTCCCCAAACACCTCCCCCAACATCCTTCTCCTCCTCCACGGCCTCGGCGACACAAGCCAAAACCTCACAACATTAGCCCGCGCCCTCAACCTCCCCGAAACCACCATCCTAACACTCCAAGCCCCCACCCCTCTCCCCTTCGACCTGGGCGGCTTCCACTGGGGCGACGACATCACATTCAGCCCAGCAGGGGACCTAGACATGGACGCCGGATTCACGCGCTCCACGAATACCATAATCAAGGAGGTGATTATCGACACCTTGCTAAAGAAGTGCGGGTACCGGGGTCGGGATATTGTGGTGTTTGGAATCGGGCAGGGCGGGATGGTGGGGTTGGAGGTTGCTAGGCATTTCAAGAACTCCTCGGAAGGAAAGGTGAATGAGGAGGAGCTGGGAGGTGTGGTGTCGATTGGGGCGCCGGTGGGGTTATCTGGAAAGGCACCTGCGACTGGCAGTGGGAAGAGTAGGACGCCGGTGTTGATTGTTGCGGGCAAGGAAGATGGAGGGGAGAGGAGTACGGCGGTTACTGCGGCTGGGGTGAGGAGGACGAAGGAGTGGTTTGAGTTTGTGGAGGCGAGTAGGTATAAGAGGCGTGGGGATGGGATGCCGAGGAATGCGGAGGAGATGAGACCTGTGATGGAGTTTTTGGCCAGGAGGTTGAGGAGTTATAAGGGGGTGCCGGAGGGGAGTGTTGAACTTAGTTGAATAGTTAGGTGAATATGGGGTGGAAGATGGGTTGTATGGATGTGGAAGGTGGATGATGAGTCTATTGTACATGACATGCTTCAAACTAGATACCTATCTGCTGGCTAGTTGACCTCCTCCAGAGCTGTGCGTGCGCGCTCTATCGTCTCTCTGGCGTCCTTCTCCGCCGTCACTTCTTCGACTTGTCGGCCACCCTCGCGGGCGGTCTCGCGCAGCTGCGTCTCGGTCTCCAGCAGCGCGGTGCGGCCGTCTTCGCGTACCTCGTTCTCAAACCAGTGTCGCGCGGACTCCCATTTGCGCTGCTGGTTGCGCAGCGAGTAGATCAGTCCGATAGCGGCCATCGTGCAGGTCTCGTAGATGGTGGCAGTCGGCAGCGAAACGTAGGTTAGCGCCGACAATGCCGAGGTCAAGGTGGTCGTGGACATGCTGAAGAAGACCAGACGCTGCGCCAATGCCTGCAGCGACGGCACTGTCGTCTCCATGAGCCGGCGACGACTAGTCGCAATCTGCGCTGGCCAGGACGTCTGCTCCTCTTGCATGGGAGTCGCATCGGTCAGCCCGGCCTGCTGGAACCGGCCGGCAGTCCAGATAACCTCCTTCTCGGCCTGGCGCAGATACTTACGGTCCAGGATTTCCGACGTGATCATCCCCACGTCGTCCACATGCCAGAACAGCTTCCACCACGCCAATCCCCGCCATGGCTTGCTGGCGAACCCTTCCTCGAGCGAGCTGCGGAGCTCCGTGTGCCCGCGTTCCGCCCACTCGGACACAGACCGCTCAAGCACATCGCGAGTCTCCCACGACACAGCGCCGCTTTCTTGCTCCAGCAGCTTCCTCTTCTCGGCAGCGGCGGCACCCGCTTCCGCAGCATCCAGAAGAGACGTGATCAACGTCCGCAAGGACGGATCCAGCGTCCCTTCCTCAGCTCGCAGCGAAGACAACCAGTCCACCACCGGCTGCACACCACTGCTGTTCCAGCCGCGTTCGTAGAGAGAAGCATTCTGCACCGACTCGCGGAACTTCGCCAATGCCTCATCCGCCTTGTCAATATCCACAAACGCAACCCGGCCATCGTACTTCTGTGGCTCCGTGACCGCCAGCTCAATAGCCCCAAAGACCGACACAGCTTCCTTCTTCAAGTCCGACCGCGCCATCAACCCGCTATACGCCAGGAAACCATCGACACCGCTGCCGCACACGATGCTGCGATGCACGGGATACCGCACCATATTATGCCGGCCAGAATGCGACGTGCGGATCGTAACTGTAGGCACGAGGAAGGTGTCAGCCGTAAATGGGTGAGACTGAGTAGCATCCGCGACGCCTGCCGACTCGGCACCTAGTGTCGTAACGAGGATTTCCAAGTTGCCCTTTTTCAGGATGGGCGAGGGCACCGAGATCGTAGGGAGGAGATCGTTGGGGATTGTTTCGGAGACTTCGCCGTACCTGCATATAACTTAGTGCCTGCTCCCCATAATACGTTGCGTGTTTGTGAGGGTAGACCTACCGAATCAACAAACCCCTCTCCGTATCTTCACCATACGCATCCAACGCATCCTCCCAGCTCTCCCTCGAATTCAACGGGTCCGCCAACAGCAACCGAACGAGTCTGCGCGCCGCAGTCGCATCATTCAGACCCAGAACTGCCCCGATTATTAGCATTATTCCAACCAACGGTAACGTCAAGCACCGAAGAAGAGAGAAGAGGAAGACCTACCAGCAACTCGAACAACCGGCTTCTCACTCTCCAATCCCCTCAACGCAAGCTGCAACCGACTCAAGTTCACCTGTTCCGGCGCAACATCCTTGACCCGGTTCAGAGCTTCATGTAAATCCTTCAATCGGGGAGGGATATGTCTTGTGTGGACGACGGATGTGGTCGCAATGCCGCTACGCTGCAAGGATGCCCATGATTGTTGTTGATGTTGTTGCTGTGGTAATTGTAGTCGGGTTCGACGCGAGGAAAGGGAGCGGCGCCAGGTGGAACAGGACGGGCAGTAGAAGACTGATGAGGAGGATGAATAGGAGGAGTCTTGAATCTGCGACAGGCTCTTGGAGAGCGTGCCACGGAGTTTAGGAGGCATTGACTGCGTGTTTGGTGAAGAGGGATGGGATGGGGGAGGAAGTCGGTGGAGGATGTAGGCAGGGCCGGTCGGAGATTCTGGCGCGGGACTTTCGGCGGTCTTGGCGGAGCGTAGCTTATACCTTAGTTTATTATAAAAGTAGGCTATGGAGTCTGGGGTAACAATAATCGACGGTAATCAATTGACTATTTTAATAAACTAGCCTGTACAATACGAACAGCTCAATTCATGGTGTATCGATTCATCAACTCATGGTCGAGTCGTCACGGACGCTCGATTGCTGTGCAGGAATTACACAAAGCCCCCCCCGTCCACCTCTCCATTATGCAATACAGTAATCTTTCGCGACAAAGTATAGGAGCTACTCATTGCAACTGTCACCACGTTGACGTTTTTGAGGTGACAGTAAATAGTCCACCCATACACGGAGTAGTTCATACCCCGAATTGCAGTACCTCTGCATGCCGCTTCAAAAGATGCTGGTTCAGATGGAACACCCAGTTACTTCCTAATCGCTCATGCTTCTCGAGAATCCCGAGTAGCATCCCTTTGTCGCCGAGTCTTGCCCGATCCCGCCGACCTGAAACTCGTTAGTATGATGGTCTGGAACGATCATTCTGCTTCACTTACATGCTAATCCGCCTGGCCACAGTCGCCAGCCCGGCGTCGTTCTCTGCCTCATGATGCGCCCGCTCAAAGGCAATGCGTCTGTCTTCTTCGCTGCGCCGGATGACCTCTTCCTGCGACGGGGGCAGACGTTCGTTTTGCAGATCGACCTTGCGAGCATCTTCGAAGTTGGTGATGGCCTGCTTGATACCCTCCGCTCCCAGCATCAGAGTACCCGCTGGGAGACGACCTCCCGCAGCGGTCTTGAGTTCGGTGACCCGCTCAGACTCTTCACGCAACACCTGGAACACACGCGACAGACGTCCAATGGCAAGAATTTTGTTCTTGATCGCACGTCGCTTGAACTCGCTGCTCTCGACATCCATCGCCGCAGGAGGAGAGGGGGGTGCGGCGGTGGGCGAGACCGACGTGGGGGTATCATCTTCAAGCTCCTCCTTGGAGCAGGTGTTGAGAATGGCAATAAGCATGTCCGTAATCTTCTCACCGACGAAGGGAAGCGACCAGGTGAAGACGTCCATGAAGTTGGGGAGCCAGTACGGGTGAGGCGTGCAGTTAAACTGTCGGATATTCATGACGTTGTTCTCGTATTTCAGGACGGCGGCCTTGTTGTTGTAGACATCCAGGTAGTTGGGAGCACTGAAGATGGTCATGACACTGGGGAAACCGGTCGTACGTGTCTTGCGGTACATGCGGTAACCGGCATCCTGTGCCTCGTGCGCCCGAATGATGGAGAGAAGGTTGTTCTTTTCGAGGAAAGCGCACGCCGCGGGGTATGAGAAGAAATACGAGCATCCACGGACGCTGTTGTGGATGAAGTAGTCACCGGTCTTCTCCTGCCCAAAGTCTTCCAGAGGATCGGCCCAGAGGATGTCGCACATCAGGCCATGAGTCGGGGGCTCCCTAAAGCGATCAATCTGTCGCCAAGTCAGCCAGCAATCCTCCAGATGTAGTGTTCAGCCCATAAAATACCGCTTTGATATCTTCCAGAGTGTGCAGCTCGGGACTGAGACCTCCGTGGATACAGAGGAACTGCTTGTTCATGACCGCCGCCAGCGGCAAGGAGCAAAACGATTCGATGCATGCCTCGTAGATGCGCTCGCTGTATTTGTGTTTGCACTCGAGCTTAAAAGTGAAGTAGTCCGTCAAATGCCGACATTCGTGGTTACCCCGCAGGAGCCAGAGCGTATTCGGATACCAGATCTTGAGGGCCCAGAGATACAGGACACACTGTAGCACGCGAGTCAGTGGGTGTGGCAATAACCAGACAGCTTGCGATCACACGAACCTCAATACTGAAGTAACCTCTGTCCACATAGTCACCGAGGAAGAGATAGCGCGTCTCGGAAGGATCTCCGCCGACCTCGAAGAGCTTCATTAAATCGTAATATTGTCCGTGAACATCACCGCACACGGTGATGGGCGCATCCATTTCCAGCAGGTTGGGTTCAGCCCTGAGGAGCTGAGTACCGGCCTGTATAATCCATAGCGCCTGATCTTCAGTGAGACGACCTTCGCGGTAGAAGTGCTGCTTGAGGAACTGCAGGTTGGGCTTAGAAGGGTCTTCACGAGACCAGAACAGGTCGTCCGGCGGGGTGTTCAACGCCGGCGCTTGCACCTCTGAAAGATCATAGAGTGATTAGGAGAGCGCACATCCAGATAATTTAAGTAGAGGAAGGGAAGAGAGAGAAGAAGACATTGTGGCGTTACCTTTAATTACTCGCTCCATGGTCGACACCTGAGTGCCATCTTCCATAACATGTAACGTAAAGTCGATCTCCGGGACCGGCTTTTTATCCGTCACCGCACGCGCTATAGTGCGATCCATGGTGACTGAAGTGATTGGGAAGACGTAGATCTTGGATCTGGGGAAATCGCAAGAACGTCGTGCCCCGGGGGGTTGCGAGGAGGCGAAGAAAAGGGGAAAGACACCAGCGCGGAGGCCAGTTGTTGGTGGGGGATTAAGCGGCGGCGGGATTGGATTTCACACGCGAGACAGGCGGAGATCGCGAGGACTGGCCGTTGTAAGGAACAAGCTGGACGGAGGTCACCAAGAAATCCTACGAAGTGGCGATTCCGAGGATGACAAGGGGGAGGGGAGCGAAATAGGGTTGGGAAAAATTGAGGCTAAAGCGTGGGTCAGGGACAAGGCGAGAGGGACGAGCGAAGAGTGAGGGAAGATGGAGAGAGGCGCCGGGCAGTGCAACCCGAATAGGAGAGATGGTCGGCCTTCCAGCTCGATATCGTCAAGGCTGGAGAATTAAGAGGCTGAAAAAAGACTGCCTGACCACCTTTTTTCTGCAGAGAACCACTAGTAAAGATGATTCGGAAGAATAAGCCAATTATCGTGTAAGATACAAGCTACTAGGTAATTAGTTCCCCCTCTTCGTGTTGAGAGTATCATTCAATCTAATCTCTTTCTCTTCATTGCAAGAAAGAGAGTTTCACTCGACGTCAGACCAACCGTAATTACGGTAATTCTCAGCTGGCGGATCAATCCCGCTTCATTACAGTCCCTGTAATTAATTACGCCGTCCGCGGGGAATCTCATCCATCATTGATTACTCTTGTTTCTCCTCTGTCTAGCTTATCAGTTCCTACCGTTTACAGGATACTACCCATCACTCATCATGTATGAATCCTATCGTCAGTACCCTCCTTCTTCTTCTGTCTTGACACATCACTGACTCACGACAGGCCCTCATCCCCTACTGGCTCAGGTCCCCTTGACCGTTTCCCCCTTCATCAACCTCCCCACTTCCGTCACTCTTCCCTACACCTACAAGTCCGTTCCCTCGACCATCCCCCCTTCAGTAACAGTCGACCCAAGTAACCCCGATGTCAAACCCCGCTACGTGGTTTCATCCAGTGGCGAGCATGCCGCCTCTCCAGAAGAGATTCTAGCTTCCTGCAACGCCCTCGAGCAGCACCTGAACAAGACGCGCGCCGATGCCGAGAAAGCAATCCGGGGCTGGGAGGACTCAATCACCCAGCGCGACCTCGCAGAGAAGCGACGTGTGGCTCCCGGATGGCTTGACAGAGATGAGAAACTACTTCAACCGAGCAACTCGGCCGCTGGCCCTAGAGGACATAGCCAACCTCAACCCAGTTTATTGGACAGCTCGTTCTCCGACCCCAGTGCGGCCGCATTACCCTCCATGGTACCGCGAGACGAAGGCGAAGAACTGGACAGAGCGTTTGGAGGGTTGGACGTGAAATGAGAGCGGCGCGAACATGTTCTGAAGTACAATATACCGGGATAGCTTGGGTGAAGGCCATGAACCGCGCCATGGCCGCTGAAACCGCTGCAGGTGGATGCTATGGGCCCTTGCTTTGGCGGGGATAGTAGCGCACTTCCTTCGTCGCAAGCCACGATAAAGTTCAAGCTTGTGCGCCCCGTATTCTGCAAGAGATCACCAGTGCAGGGCGCTCTGCATCTGAACCAGCTGAACTACGGCAGTGCGCGACCTGCGCCAACGAGAGCAACAGCCATATAACCATCTGGTACCGCCGAGCAACTAGCTCAAACGATCTCATAAGAAACAAATCTAGCATCAATCATAATAATATCACACATTCCCATTAATCTTCCACAAGAGTGCACCTAATCAAAAGGTGAAACCAACGTAGAAACCAACCGTGGTAGATAGAACCCCACCCGCCCGGCGGATATCAACTGCCATCAACCAGCAGCTACTGATAATCTAGCTTTTGCTCCGCCCGCAAAGCTCCATCCATCATCTTCTCATTTTCCCACCCTTCACCACCACCCACACATCCTCAACCTCCCACCTCGAAAACAACCAAAATCCGAACCCCAAAATGGAAACCATCACCGCACCCCCCGACACAACAACCTACATCCCCCTCGCCGAGCACCAATCCCGCACCCCAAGCTCCTTCCACTCCGGTCCTCCAATCCTCTACTCGCAGCACCAAAACTGCAAACTCGTGCTCCTGGAGCGCGAAGCCCTCGCAGTCCCAGCACTAGGCGCTCTGCGCGATGCCTCCACTGCAAACGGCACCACCACCGAAGAAGACGAAGCAGCGGAAGACAAAGAGATCGTCATCACCGGCGTGAACGTATGGGTTACGTCTGAGTGAGTAGTCTGGCCCTCCTCCATCCATACATAACCAATACAATAACCAAAGAGAAAGCAAAACCATACTAACGAGAATGAATCAACGAACTAGGAAATTCCTCCTCCACAACCCCACAACCAACACCGGTCTCTCAATCCCCTACCCCTCTATCTCCCTGCACGCCATCCAGCGCCTGCAGCTCCCCAACACCGAACCCCAAGCCCAGGTTCAAGGCCTATACATGCAAATCGCCAACCCAACGACCTCCTCCTACTCCTCCGCCGACGACGAAGAAGACGCCCTCACCGTAACAGTTGTGCCCGAGACCCCCGCTCAGGAATCTTCTACCCCCGCCGCCGCCGAGGAAGGAGACGAAAAGCCCGAAACCCCCACCCAGACCCTCTACGCTGCTGTGTCGGCGTGCTCGAATCTGCATCCGGACCCGGTGGAGCCGGGCGATGAGGACGAGGATGATTACGAAGGAGAAGGAGGAGCATTTCAGTCTGGGTTAGTGTCGATGGGGAGCGCGGAGGGTGGATTGCCGCCGCCGGTGGAGGGGAGTTCGGGGTGGATTACGGCGGAGAATATGCATGAGTTCTTTGATGAGGAGGGGAATTGGATCGCTGGTGGGGAGGAGCCCACGTTGCCTTTGGGGCCTGGGGCGGGGACGGTGAGGCAGAGGGAGGAAGAGGAGGGGGAGGGGGTGGATGGGGAAGAGGGTGTTAATGGGGATGGTACCGGGGAGGAGACGAAGTGGAGGAGGACGGATTAGATTGTTTGTTGGTCTATCCAGCAACTCTTCTTGGTCTCTGCTTGTGTACTATCTCTACTACTTAAACCGATGTGTGTGTGTTGTGGAATACTTTTGTAATGATAGATGCTACTTAAGTCACTTGTTATGAAACGGATCAATTGCCAAGTACTACTTGTAGAAGTCTATTGACCATCATCTTTAGATTAATTTTTATTAATCCTACCTATTACCTACGTTCATCTTTACAGTGGAGGGTAGACACGCCCGCACGCTAGCCAAGCAAAGGAAACAAGAGAAAACAATCAACGCCGCTGCCAACTATCAGTCCATCCATGCGCCCGCCCTATTCTTTCAGGAACCCATCTCCATCATACAAGCTTCCCGGCGTGGCAGCCCCAATTCCCAGTCCGACAGGCTTTTTCGTCGGAGTACGAAATCCTTGTCGGGAACTGCCAGGGCCGGGCTTCAATCGGTGGCTCTTTGCCCGTCCAACTTGGGCTGAAGGCTCGCTGGGCGAAGTAACTGAAGAAGTTCTGGGACCCTTGCCCTTGGGTTCCGAAGCCCGGTCTTCCCAGATGGGAACTATGATGCCGCTGTTCGCAGTTGGCGGTTTTGGCACAGCGGCCGCTGGTCGCCAGAGCTGCGCCTGAGAATAGCTGATTGGAGAAACAATGTGATGCGGACTACCCTGGTACCGCGGGGCCACCATGTTCTTGGGGTCGTTCTTCGGACGCAATGGTGATTCGGCGGTATTGCGTACCGGTTCCTTGCCCATACTGGTACCGCGCGAATGACGCATCGGCGGACTTGACTGCGTCATGGCATTATCATCGAGGGGGTTCAGTGAGCGGAAGCTGCCGCGTGCTGTTGATCGTGGCGGAGGTTGACGCGGTCCCTTGACGGCTGTACGGCGCGGACTGCCAGGGTTCGAGGAGTTTTCGAACCCCGTCGGCGAGCTGTTGTAATGCGGAATCATCCAGACCGGACTGTTCTTTTCCGGAGATGGCGTAGTCGACAGGTTGGTATCAATCCTGGGGGGCGGTAGAGTCGTCACAATATCGGGCAATGACTTCTCCATGTCCATGATACTCAGAGTGTGATCCCCGGCATCAGTAGGTGAGTTCACCTTGAGCTTCGGCGGTCCTCCCTGTGAGGGTTCATCTGGAATCTCCGTAACTCGCGAGTTTTCCTTTTGTTGCTCATCATAGCTGGCCCGACTCACTGTAAGGCCTGAACCGTTGGACTGAAGTGAAATGTGGGAGATTGATGGATTGGGAACTTGTGCCCGGCTGGTATCAATTTCGTCGGTCTCCTCCGGCTCCTCGGCCGTAGGCGAGAAGACTGGGCCACCAAACGTGATTGGAGGATGTATCGAGATCCGAACGCAGTTCTGCCGCCGATGGCCTTTGCGGGTGCTACTGCTCCCTTTGAGTGCAGAGGGCAGAGGGGGTCTAAGATGACTGTTCGGGCCTAGCAGAGGACCATCCGGAATCCCAGTGGTACTAGGCTTCAATCGGGTGTCAGTGCTCGAGGCAGAATTGCTGATCACGTTGTAGAATGGATCGAGCTCGTTCTTCTGATCACCATACATCGAACGGCGTTGCATTTGACTGAAATGTGGCACTAAGGCTCCATTGGGTACTGGATTGAGGGAAGGCGGGCGGCTCAGATCCAGAGGCTTCACCCACAGGGATGAGTCTCGCTTGGCTTTGATTTCAGACAGAGACTCGGTTCGTCGTGGCGGTGGACTGACGCGTTCCGTCGAATGATTCGGGCTCCGTGTGGTCAAGCTTCGACGCGGAGAAGAGCGAGGTGATTCAAGTCTCCTGGCTTCCCACGCGGTGCCAGAATTTGACGGGAAGACGAATTGAGATGGTACGACTGGAGCTGGCCCAAGGCCTCTTCGATCATATTCCATCCGTCCAACGTCGTTGGCATCAAACGGGGCGAATGTGGGACATGGAGGCAAAGCGGGCGATGTGAAAGTACTGTCGACATTTGTCGACGTTCTTCTGCTGTCCTCCAGAATGGAGCTGTCTGCGGTTTCGAGACTCAGCGAAGAGAGACAAGTTGAATCATTCCTTGACAAACGGAAGCGGTTTGGCGGATAGGCACACGGTGGTGGAGGTACAGGTTGCTCGGGCGCAGACCCGGCCGTTTGAGCAGTGATGCTTCCCCCACGTACCCGACCGTTGGATGGGTTGCAACCGTCTTGTTTATCCTCCATGAGCGGGTACAGGCTGCCGGACCGCTCCCTATGATGCTTCAATGGCCATGTCCCCGAGCCTGGTCGGCTCGTGAGACTTGCCTTCAATTGCTCCTCTTCTCGGTCTGGGGTATGCCGCGGTGTGGTCTCCGTTGCTAGCTCGAACGCACCCTCGACAGCAGAGTTCGGTACGTTATCGTCAATTCCAGATACTGTCGGTGAAGCTGATTGCCGCTTCTCTGAATGCTCCGTCAGTGGAGACAGTGAGCTGAGTCGTTGTGGTCCTAGGAGGTGTCGTGACAACCGCGCAGAGCGGCTTGAAAGAGACCGTGATAGTGAACGACGCATGTCACGGGCTTTCTCGTCCAAGGGGGATGACGTGTCGGAGTCCGTAGGGGATAGAATGAGGCTCTCGCGAGATGAAAGGACTCCCCACTCAGACGGCTTTCCATATGGGAGCTGTCCATACTGTCGTAGTGCGGTGCCCTCCTCCCGCGAGAGTTCTGTCAGCGTCTCCCCCTGGTATTGTTGTAGAGCAAATCCATCCTGCTTCGCGTTTGCCACCGCCAGCGACAGGCGATCCTGACGGACTCTTATCCAAATGACCGTGCCAACTATCGCAGACACAATAAAGACGACGGAGCAGCTCACGGCTATCGCTATTACTGTGGTCAATGGCGGCATTGTCGTTTCTTCCTGCTCTCGGTGCCAGAGCTGGCAGAACCTGGTTCCTTTAGACTTTGAGTAGATGCTTCAACCCATACACTCGAGCTGGTACCTGTCCCAGTGTCTATACCAGTTCCGCGATGGTTCCGGACGGCATTCAACGGCGCCGAAGACCAGGCAAGAGTAGCAACTACTAGCCACGGAAACGCCAGCACAAGGATAATCAGAAAACAGAGAGATCCATGATGGATGGGAGGAAGCGCGCTCGTGAGGGAGCGTTGCGTTTGTTATGGCAGCCGGCTGGGGCATGGGAATGTTGGTAGCATTATTGTCGGCTCGCGAGGAATGCTGCGATGTCAACCAACCATCCTCCCCAGCGAGCCATTGACTAGCGATAGGGAGCCCTCATCAAACTGAAGCTCGGTCCCAGAATTCCTGTAATGTCTCGATTTAGAAGATAAGTCGAGAATAGACCATCGCCAAGATGCTAGCAGATCTACAGGAGGCCGCAGAGTTTCCACTGATAACTAGAAGAATGTTAGCGAAACAGTCAAGAATTGAGCACCCCTGGAGCTCGTGGAACATGGTAGATTCCAACGAATCCCTTTTCTTGGAGACTGTGATCGTGCAAACTACTTTCACTCGTACTGTTAGTTAGTTATCAACAGCAAACTACTACTTTGTAAAGGACTGTACGTCCTGGGTATAAGGAATCTAGTAGTCCTTCTTGGCATGCCATAAGGCGCCGCATGCAGACTCAAGTCTGAAAAAAACCACGAGTATATCATAGAAGGCATGAAACACCTGCATTAGCAACGCAGCTCCCTGCGCGTGTCTTTTCTTCTTCCCAGCTTCGCGTGGTAAAAGCGCAAGTGGAGGTGGAAGTGGAGATTCCCCGGGAAACCCCAATCGGGCAGGGCAGCCGCTGTCACGGGGGGTGCGGGACGGAAATACGATGAGTCCGGATCCGCCGGCCTCTCGGATTGGGAGAACCAGACGAGGTTGATCAACTCCGAACTTACTCAGTGTTCAGGTCTCATGTCTCCTGATATTTCCGAGGTCATCGTCTGATTGAGGCCGTCAGATGCCAGAGGGGTCCCCGATCCCGATACCGATGGGGACTTCGGTGAGATAAAGAAAGCAAGCGAAAGCTGCAGAAGCAGGGCATGGGGCGCCTGTCGTCAACCCACGCCCGGATACCCCCAGCCTGGGCCTTTTCACCCGCCTTGGAGACTATGGGACCGCTTAGCGTTATTAGAACCCACCAGACGAGAAAGCTGGATGGAGTGAGCGTGGCCAGTCGGGGCAACTAGACTTATCCTCGATAGCCAACCCCAAACTCTGAATAATGCGAACTCCAGAGTAGGAGCCAACCATCTGCATAGAGGGGGGCAATGGCCCAGTCAACCCCTCACCGGCGCGGGGGGCTCCTAGTGGGCTTGCTGTCTTAATAGTGTTTACGTTGCTGGCCGTAGTGGTGTGTATATCTAAGCTCCAATCTACGATATAAAGCTGCCCGCCACCTGGCTAGGCCGTCTCCCATCTTCACTTTGTTCTTTCCTGGCTCTCCTGCCTATCCTCGAGAATTTCCTCTCTTTACACCCCTTCTCCACCCATAGATCCGATCATGGCTGCCAGCCCTCAGAAAGATGGACACTTTGTCCATGACAACACTACCGCTCCCGCCCACCCCGGCTTGCTGAGCATGTTCTCACTGAAGGGCAAGACTGCCATCGTTACAGGCGCCGGTGCTGGCATCGGTCTTGCCGTAGCTAGTGGCCTGGCTGAAGCCGGTGCAAATGTGGCCATGTGGTATAGCAGCAACCCCAGCTGCATCGAGCGGGCCGCGGAGATTGCTTCCAAGTATGGTGTCCAGGGTCAGTAGCTCTCAGACCATTTTCTTCACTTACCGCCTGGCATACTTTACTAATGCACATTCCAGCCCAGGCGTACAAGGTCGAAATCACCAAGCCCGAAGCCGTGCAGGAGGCCGTTGACCAGGTTGTGAAAGACTTCAACGGCCGACTGGACGTTTTCATTGCCAATGCCGGTGTCCCCTGGACTAAGGGTCCCATGGTTGACGGTCCGCTGGACCACTACCAGAACGTGGTCGATGTCGATCTGAACGGTACCTTTTACTGCGCCAGGGCAGCAGCAACCCACTGGAGGAGACAGAAGGAGGAGGGCACCGATATCAACGGTAACGCACTTAACAACTTCACCTATGGCAGCTTTGTGGCCACCGCTTCCATGAGCGGTCACATTGTCAACTTCCCTCAGATGCAGGCAGCATACAATGCCTCCAAAGCGGCCGTTATCCATCTCTGTAAGTGAAGCGGCCTTGGAGAAATAGACTTGCATCGTACTAATTCCCTATGCAGGCAGGTCGCTGGCTGTCGAGTGGGTCAGATTCGCACGTGCCAACACCGTCTCCCCAGGATACATTGCAACAGAGATCTCGAACTTTATCCCAACCGAGACCAAGACCGTCTGGAAGGATAAGATCCCCATGGGTCGCGAGGGAACCCCCGAGGAGCTGAAGGGCGCGTATCTGTACCTGGCATCGGATGCATCCAGCTACACTACCGGAGCAGACATTGTGGTTGACGGCGGCTACTGCGCCCCATAAACTTTTGATGATATAGATGGCATCTTATGATCTGTACATTTGAACTTGCAGCGATACATAAATATGAAAGATATATTACACGATAGACGAAATGAACGACTGGACTTCTTCGCGATCAAGCCCGTTCGTGGCGCTTCTTAGATTTCACCACACCCGGTCAGGGCCAAGGAACCAGGCCAACCAACCACTTCCAGCCAACCACTACCACAGATCCCTGCAGAAGCCGTGGCTTGCAGGTTGCAGGACATCAATAGTCGGGATCGGCAGTGACGTAGGTCCACGATCGCGTGAGATGCCCCCGAGTAGATCCCAGTAATGTGACCACTTCTCACAACACGTGTCGGGTATTTGTTTTATCCCATAGCCACAAGAAGTGCAATCAATCAGCTCAACTAGTAGAATCAGAAGAAGATGGTCCCTCCTGTACCTTTTCCACCACCCACTTCACCACTGAATCCACCACCCCATCAACCCATTCCCCTTCATCTTCATCTCCATACACAGAATAACAGTCCTCTTCCATTTCTGGAATCAATGGAAAGGGCGGCTCCATGACCTCCGGGTATATGACGGATGTATCCGGGTCAAAGTATCTCGAGAGAGGGGTTGCGGGGGGAGCAACATGGCCATTGGTGGTGAAATAGTGATCACTGCAGTAAGACGTTGTGTTCATGTTAGTCATCTTTCATTTTATGTCATTGTGCGTGGGATGTATGCCTCAAGGCTTGATGTGTGTGGTAAGTTTGGTAGGAAGGATCAGACTAAAGGGTAATAGTGGTAGAGCTGATGTGGTTGGTCGAGAAACGTGGGGTGTACACTGCTACTAAGTAGTAGTAGTACTGGTAGTATACATACCGGTGAAGATGATCCAGTTCGACTTCGTGTTGGTAAAAGGGGAGGCGGGTGTAATTCGGAGTAGTATATTTCCGCAATATAGAACGAATGCCCTTGCGGTGCTGAATGAGGAGGAAGAGGAGGGAGAGAATGAGACAGGTTGTTGGGAAGAGAGGGATCATGTTGATGGAGTATGTAGATGTTTCTCCTCCTGTTTTTTAGGCAGGAATCTGTTAGTGTCGAGAAGGAGGTTTTAACTATGTGATGTGGAATATATTACTACCATCTCAACAAACCGAACAATCATTGACAACATCATCTTTACAGTGAATATATCCTTTCTGATAATTGTTATTTATTGGTTTTTCCATCAGTTCTCGTCTGATCGAAATTAATTGAACCGGATCGTTGGTCCGAAGTGGTTATCAAGACTGACGCATCACTTCAGTCATGTCAATCATGCCAGTCATAAATAATCTAGAATTTCAGTTATCTTTCCCACACTTCATTTTCTTGTCTACTATCCCCCGTTACTACATAATCCCAAGAAAGAGGGGATAAAAACCATGGCCGAACTCCCACTCTATTCTTCTCTGAGAGAAGAACTGACTTCACCACCTAAGACATCAATCCAAATCATAGGATCACATCTCACAGACGAACAGGCCAAGGAAATTGACTTTGATCTCTGGGTTGACTGTACGAAGATGGTTGGAATCAAGTCGATTAAAGCATCAACTAGTACTGAAGAATTATGTCACACCTGGCAAAATCCATCCCAACAAAAGGACAATCCCGAAGATATGCTGGAAAGATGGCTGAACTACTGGTTGAATGACTGTGCAGAATCAGACAGAAGGTAGTATTTATCTGCTCCTTCCCCTTGGTTGTTCCTATCTTATACTGATAACATATTTTATCCAGCTGGACACTGCACAAGTCAGTATCTTTCGCGCAGGAGGAGCTCGGCGCGATGAAATTCCGCATACTACTCCTGGCACGCGAAGCCTATTATCGGGGCTCACTCGAAGTGATTTTACATGCGCCCTCTTCTGAGCCCGATTATAATCCTCTGGGTTACGACAGCGCAGACAATGCACGGCTTCAGGTTGAATGGAGTTTTGAGTGCCCTTTCATGCCCACTGACCACAACTCGAATTCCATACTTCAGTATGCAATGCAACAGCACAAGGAGGGCTGGGTGGATCTGAACGGACCAAAGCCCCTTCATGGGCATTTCATGCGTCGAAGAGCGCCCGCTTATGATAGTGCGGATAACAGCACAGTCAGAGATAGACTATTCTGGCTGTGGGGCTGTGATGGTCCGCCATAAATAGGATAAGTGGGCTTTTTTGATAGCTATTAGCCAGTATTGACGGTCTATTAAAATATTGATTGTTGTAATCCGGGGTCTTGTTTCTGATCTAAAATCTTGTGTATACATTTTCTGAGATGTCCTGCAGCACTACTGCGAGAACAGAGCTGCGTACGGCAGTTGGCTGTACATTACGCTTGCTATGTGAAAAAGAGAGCGTTAAAAAGAGGGTCGGCATGGCATTGCTAATGTAGCATACAGTAAGTTATACACCTGGTTCTAGGGTAGAATATTATTTTTCAGGTCCTTTGGCGGTTATATCATGTGACCACATAAGTGATACCAACTATTCAACCAAGAAAATCACTGAGAATCAGGCAAACCATGCATGTACCCAATATTCTTATTCTAGTGATTATCCATTCCAGATCCCCAGAATAATCGGGTACTTCCTTCAAGTTTTCTTCAGTCCTAAACCTTGCAAACTATAAAGGGCGATCACGACCGGCATCTACAGATATGTATTTCCATCACTACTATGTACCTACTACTTCTACTACTACTAGTAAGCAGCAACAGCCCTCACCTGACAGCCCCCAACCCGCATCACTTGACTTTCCTACAAAGTATGAACCCGAACCAGCTGAGTCCGTCCCAATCCCCATGATCTGCCTCTCTCATTCCTCTGATTTCGTCACTTTCATCACTCTACTAACACCGAATACAGAATCCCCTCTTATCATCCTCCAATGACCCCATCACATTCATCTCAGCTCCGACATCATGCGCCCGGCCCCGGAAACCATATCTTACTACCAATATATACAAATGGAACAACCACCCATTCTTTCATCACTCAAGTATGAGAACATTCATGAAACAATGCGGCACTTGCCGATAGTAATGGATTGTCGAAAATCATTGTATACTCTGTACTATATATTTTTGTTATGCCCTTGAGAAGATAGCATAGTAAGCTCGAAGCTATTTTTGTTCTGGATACTCTTCTCAACTCTCCCCTCTATACCACCATATATGGAACTAGTCTAGCACACCTCCCCTCCACCACACCCAACTGCTACTATCAGATCCAAATATCGGAACCTATGATCCAAATGTACCAACCAACATCATGCCTCATGCTACACATCATCCTCCCCATGATGGAGAGGATATGGCAATGGTACGTTTCTCTGACTCTCATCCCCGATCCTCATCCTCTCGCACCCGCATACACAACCAAATCAATCCCTTTCAAACCATCCCACACAGAAAGAGTTGGAGAGAAAACCATCCACAAAAAAGAACAACCAAAACCAACCCCCCAGAAGTCTCTGAATTTGTCCCTGAGAGAACAAAAACAGAATGCCTCCCTCCAAGAAGCCCTCTCCTGCACCAGCTGCACAATCACCCGCATCCCCAAGGACATCTACTACGATGATCGCATAAAAGGCATCTACGATGCCTCCCGCGATCCACCGTTCCTGACCCCAGGCCTCACCACCACCACAGAAGACAAAGAAATCCCACCCGACGAAATACCCCCAGCCCCCCAAGAAGGCAAAGATAATAAACAAGATCCATCACCCACATACACCCACCTCCTCACACCCACCCAAGAACAATCCTACAACACCCAACTCCAAATCTACCTCAGCCACGACCCGACAAACGACCACAAGTTCGCAAAATACCTCGTGGACTACCACATCCACATACATTACCTTTTGCGTCGCAGCATGCTAGGTCTCTGTCGGGACGTGACCGATCTATACGAAATGAAAGATTGGATGAAGAGGATGATGCATCCTGCCAATCATGAGAATGAGGGAGTATCTGTCAGTCCTACTGGCATTTACACCCCCCAGCCCCAACTAATCGGACCGTCTCAAAATCTCTACTCCCTGAGAAGTCAGAATTACCGCAAACGTCACAACCGACACCATCAATCCTACCAATCTCCCTTCTACCAACCACCACAGAGACAACAACACCTCCCTCGCTCATCCCTCTCATCCTCCGTCTCATCATCAACAGAAGATGACCGCCCAAGCGACTGGCCAGGCGACTCGAACCGACAAATGAAATATCAAGTGAAACTATGGGATAAAGGCGCAAGAATGAGGAGGAAGCGCTATAAGGAGAGTCAAGCCCGGTGGGCGGTTATACAAGAGGAGAGGGCACGACAACGGGAGATGATGATGATGATGCGGAGTAGGAGGAATTTGCCTAGGAATACTAATGTGCGTATGAAAGGGGGTAGCGCTGGTGGTGGTGGTGTCAAAGTGAGGCTGTATTGCTCGACGCAGGTAGCAGGTGTTGGAGGTGATGGGTTATACTATGATGGGAAGAGGAAGTTTCTGAGGGAGGTCGAGGTCGAGGAGATGGCATTTGGGGAGGTTATTAGATGACTAGGAGCAATGAATTGGATATACGAATTAATGAGCTGTCTGTCCAGTAGAGTGTAGTGCTTTTTTTTTTTTAGTTTCTCTCAATCTCCTTTCTAAATTGCATGTGGTAAGTCAGGGATGAAGGTGGAATGTAGGCGAGTGACCATCCATTCTTGAAGCCGGATGGGAAGGAATGTGAGCAAACCGGAAGCAATAATGAAGGTGCACCACCACTCCTTGACATGTGAGAGATAGTCTTTACTGTGTTCAACTGCACAAACGCAATCTATCTTCATAGCATGATTCATACTCTCAATATCCTATCATCATAATACCTAATATCCAAGTCATAATATGTCGTATCCAACTCATAATATTTCCCTACAACGAGAACCCACCCCAAACCAAGAACTCATTCCACAGACAAGCAATCATCCGGGTCAAAGTACCCGCCTGACGACCGCATCCCAAAATGCATCGCTTCAATCGCCTCGTGCCCCTCATATTCATCTTCCCCGTCTAACCTCTCTTCACCTTCCTCGACCACATCCTGTGCAGTAAGCTGAGCGACCACCTTCTGATTGACGCGGTAGCAAGAAAGAATCTCCGACGTCACGGATCGTGCCGGTAGGGTGCTCGATTTGATCTGGCAGAGGACCTCGCCAAAGGCATGCATAACGAAGCTGGCGCGCGGATATTCGTTATATGTGTAAGACGCAAGGACCCGAAGCCATTCGTCACGGCAGTGCTGCCATACCAGTATCAAAGGGTGATCGCCTTCCGGGGGTGGAATGGATCTGGCCTCGCCTGCAGCAGCCAGCGCGTGAGGGGAGAACGAGTCCTGACTTCGGGAAATAGCCGTGTTCCATTGGATGTAGAGTTTTCTGATCTTTTCTCTCATGCCCTTGGCGGCTGCGAATAATTGTCCGCGTTGGCCTTCGTTCTTGATCTTTTCGCGGATCGTACGCCAGGGCCGTGTCAGGTCTTCATCTTTGCTGAAGAATGCCTCCTCTTCTGGGAATTCTGCCTCGAGCTTGGTAAGCATCTTGTCCCGCTCCTGCGCGGCGACTTCTAACCGGAGATAATCGATGATGTTGGATTTCTTGGGTCTCCGGCCGGGGTTCTTGTATGCGGGGAGTTCGCGTGCCCGGGGGCTGATCTTCTTGCGGTATTGCCGCCATGCTTGTTCGGATAGGTGGACTCCTGCTTTGCGGCCGTCGACCAGGTGACTGAGGAGACAGGCGAGTTCCTTCGCTTTGTCTGAGTCGATTGACTCGTCGTAGGCGATCATCTCATGCTCCACGGTACAGCGACCTAGGTTTGACAGGGTCAAATTGAAGGTGAATGAGCTCTGGAGGAACTCATCCATGGATTGGATGTCTTTCATGTCTACAGCGTACTTGGTAAGTCCGTAATACTCCGGTGCGAACTCTATATCTGGCAACTTGGAATTGTTGAAGTTTCGGACGATGTTCTGGTCCCAGCAAATCCAAGGTGTATCGCCATCGTAGTCACCACCAGAGAGCATATGTGCCAACGGTA